AGGTGTGTAGTGTGTTTAGAGGACACTTAGAGCTTCTCGATGCATAATGAATAATAAACAGTAGGCTAGTATTGGACCCGCTCATTTCAATCATATAAAACGTATATTCAATTTAAATAGATATCCTTTAGTGTCTGGTATCAGTATGTGGTATAATGCTTGTAAAAATGTGTCAATCAATCACTCAGATAGCAATATGCACTACAATCATATCATGATGACAACATCACAAAAAGCATCATCACAGTAAAGTACAGCCAACAAGGCAATCCCCATTCCCCACTATCATTCCTATTTCATATTCAAATTGGTGCTAAAAGACGATCTCTATGTGAGACTCTGTAACTAGCACTAATATGTCAATGCCTGAAGCTTTTCAGATGAAGCAATATTTTTGCATCATGCTGCACAGGCTAGTGTGAATGCAGTTCATCTCAGACTAAATAAGAGTAACTCGATCAGGGTGTTGCTCAGATCATTTGGTTGATCTGGTGATGCCAAAGCAACCCTGCGTGATTTCCCACCACTCACATTCTGTCAGAACGCATAGACACAGCCCTTAGTCACACAGATAGCAATATGTATCAAGACTCTCTCTCTCTCTCTCTCTCTATGTCTGTCTGTCTGTCTCTCTGTCTGTATTTCTCACTCTTTCTTTCTTTCTTTCTTTCTTTCTTTCTTTCTTTCTTTCTTTCTTTCTTTCTTTCTTTCTTTCTTTCTTTCTTTCTTTCTTTCTTTCTTTCTTTCGCTCTCTCTCACACAGACACACACACACACACACACACACACACACACACACACACACATCCCATACATAGGGGGGAAATAATGCAAATAGGGAAACTAGGCTACATCTTGTTGACAACAACAGGAAAGTGTAGATTTATGCTATGTAAATGAATTACACAAAACAAAGAATACTCCTTTTTTTGTTACTAGAATGTTTTAAAAATGAAATCACAATTTGAAAATGTTTCCTTTCATCCCTTCTGTGCATTTGTGCTTGAAAACGAGTAACAATAATGTAGCCTAGCTGCATTTTATCAAAGGCAGGATAAAACCACCTAGAAGTGAACACGAACACACACACATACACGCTCATATGCACACACGGCGCGCGCACATACACACACACCATAGCCTATATAGGTTTCTACGGTCTCATCAATAATGCATTGACACTTCATGTTTATGCAATTCACAGGGCAAAGAACGAGCGGTCGGTATTGCAGGCTAGATACAAGCTCCCTGTACATTGCATGCCATTATAAAACCATATCTGTTAAAACGCTCAAACGTTAAAGATCGAAAATGTACTGCCGATTGAGAGCGCGTGCAATAAATAAAAATATAGAAAAGTCTCACATACCTGTTATAGCATTTCCTTTGCTTTTGGTTTAATATGCAGGATTTAAGGGCTTCATGATAACACCGCACACAGGAAATAAAACTGTAGTGCTATGGTGATATGCAAATGATGGCTCCCGCTGAACGCAAGTACATTTATTATTCATAAATTACTCATGTTTATGCAAAAAAAAGGCTATACGGAACCATTGTGTAGAGTTGGGGTTGAGTAAACCTTTCAGTCTGTTATAGTAAACATTTGATTCAATTGCTGGTTTTCATATTTCAATGTATAACGTTCTTTCTCAGAAACAGTAAATGTGGCCTTGATTGGCTATAGGCTAATTAATATCCCCTTTTATGTTTTGGCCATAGTCTATGATTTCGGATGAGACGGATCTGACAAATAGACTAATACAATTGTCCGGGAGCTGACATCGGCTTTTAGTTTGGTGAATTGATGTGGAGGGTTTCAGTGATTCCAAGGAAATGTCTTGTCTGTAGCTTGTAGCAAGCTTCAGCATCCTTGTTATTTCAAATGTCAAGAGAAAATGGAACTCACATGGTTGTTAAATGGACATTTATTTGAATAATAAAAACTATTCACTGTGTGCTGACAGTGCCTATAACAACAACTAAACAATCATCTCATGGGCCTCAGAACCATGGGGCGGCGCACAATTGGCCCAGCGTCGTCCAGGGTAGGGGAGGGAATGGCCGGCAGGGATGTAGCTCAGTTGGTAGAGCATGGCGTTTGCAACGCCAGGGTTGTGGGTTCGATTCCCACGGGGGGCCAGTATGAAAAATAAAAAATTAATAATGTATGCACTCACTAACTGTAAGTCGCTCTGGATAAGAGCGTCTGCTAAATGACTAAAATGTAAATGTAAATCTCAGTTGATGCCCAGCATTTGCTAAATGGAATAGGCTCCCACTGATTATAGATTATGTTCTCCTTTGGCCAAAAGGCCAGTTTGTCAATCCACACCTACCTTGATCTTTCCATTTCTAGATTATTCTCAGCATAAAGCCCTACCCATAATTTTACTTAATTGCTGCTCTCTCTCTCTCTTTTTTTCTCTCTCTCTCTCTCTCTCTCTCTCTCTCTCTCTCTCTCCCTCTCTCTCTCTCTCTCTCTCTCTCTCTCTCTCTCTCTCTCTCATTCACTCACTCACTCACTCTCTCTTTCTTCCTCTCTCTCTTTCTCTGTTCGTGTATGTATGTATGTATGTATGTATGTATGTATGTATGTATGTATGTACAGTTGAAGTCGGAAGTTTACATACACCTTAGCCAAATACATTTAAACTCTGTTTTTCACAATTCCTGACATTTAATCCTAGTCAAAATTCCCTGTCTTAGGTCACTTAGGATCACCACTTTATTTTAAGAATGTGAAATGTCAGAATAATAGTAGAGAGAATGATTTATTTCAGCTTTTATTTATTTAATCACATTCCCAGTGGGTCAGAACACCATGGGACCACGCAGCCGTGTAGAGATAATGATTTATTTCAGATTGTATTTATTTCATCACATTCCCAGTGGGTCAGAAGTTTACATACACTCAATTAGTATTTGGTAGCATTGCCTTTAAATTGTTTATCTTGGGTCAAACGTTTCGGGTAGCCTTCCACAAGCTTCCTACAATAAGTTGGGTGAATTTTGGCCCATTCCTCCTGACAGAGCTGATGTAACTGAGTCAGGTTGGTAGGTCTCCTTGCTCGCACACGCTTTTTCAGTTCTGCCCACACATTTTCTATAGGATTGAGGTCAGGGCTTTGTGATGGCCACTCCAATACCTTAACTTTGTTGTCCTTAAGCCATTCTGCCACACTGTTGGAAGTATGCTTGGGGTCATTGTCCATTTGTGACCAAGCTTCAACTTCCTGACTGATGTCTTGAGATATTGCTTCAATATATCCACATAATTTTCCTTCATGATGCCATCTTTTTTGTGAAGTGCACCAGTCCCTCCTGCAGCAAAGCACCCCCACAGCATGATGCTGCCACCCCTGTGCTTCACGTTTGGGATGGTGTTCTTCGGCTTGCAAGCAACCCCCTTTTTCCTCCAAACATAACGATGGTCATTATGGCCAAACAGTTCTCTTTTTGTTTCATCTGACCAGAGGACATTTCTCCAAAAAGTACTTATCTTTGTCCCCATGTGCAGTTGCAAACCGTAGTCAGGCTTTTTTATGGCGGTTTTGGAGCAGTGGCTTCTTCCTTGCTGTGTGGCCTTTCAGGTTATGTCGATATAGAACTCGTTTTACTGTGGATATAGATACTTTTGTACCTGTTTCCTCCAGCATCTTCACAAGGTCCTTTGCTGTTGTTCTGGGATTGATTTGCACTTTTCGCACCAAAGTATGTTCATCTCTAGGAGACAGAACGCGTCTCCTTCCTGAGCGGTATGACGGCTGTGTGGTCCCATGGTGTTTATACTTGCATACTATTGTTTGTACAGATGAACGTGGTACCTTCAGGCGTTTGGAAATTGCTCCCAAGGATGAACCAGACTTGTGGAGGTCTACAATTTTTTTTTTTTCTGAGGTCTTGGCTGATTTCTTTTGATTTTCCCATGATGTCAAGCAAAGAGGCACTGAGTTTGAAGGTAGGCCTTGAAATACATCCACAGGTACACCTCCAATTGACTCAAATGATGTCAATAAGCCTATCAGAAGCTTCTAAAGCCATGACATCATTTTCTGGAATTTTCCAAGTTGCTTAAAGGCACAGTCAACTTAGTGTATGTAAACTTCTGACCCACTGGCCTAATTGTTCCTCCTAGGTGTTCTTGATCTGAACCCATACATGCACCCCACTGTACAGCAGGTTGACGTTTATTGTCATGAATCTTGCCCTGGAGGCCGCACTGAGCAATGTACGCTAGATGTGCCAGCTGCTGAGTCTTAATTTAAGGTTCGGTTTAGGCATTAGGGTTAGCAGTGTGGTTAAGGTTCAGTTTTACATGTGATTTTATTACTTTGTGGGTGTTCTAGCTACTGACCACTCTCCAGAGCTGCCTCCATGTCAAGCTTCATGACAATAAATGCCAACCTTCCCACTTACATGCGCATATCAATTTGCGCACATTACCATATATTACGGTACAACGCCGCAATGGACATGCTGTTGCCATGAATGGGAAAGCTACTTGCTAAAATAGCCAGCTAGCTAGTTACTTTTCAAAATCATAAAGGTATTAATAGTTTATCGAGCTAGTTATATCATAGCGTTTGTACGGATCACCTGGAGTTTGATTAGACAGCTAGTAGAAGCTTCGCTAACAAGTCGAACAGCTAACGACTGACTAGATAGTGCTAGCCGGCTGTTGCCTCTACTAGCTAACGTTAGCTAACTAAGTTAGCTACCATCGGCTAGCTAAAAGGTAAGGAAAAGTTAGGACCTCTTCAATGTACAATGTAACCAACCAGCTTGCTTAATACTAGCTACAGCTTAACGTCACTTGCTTCCTTAAACTAGCTATACTATTTCCTATTGAACAGGCAACGAACTATCTCATGCTATAGCATAGGCTAATCCGTTTGTTTGCTTGCTAACGTAGCTTGCACATGTGATGTTGTGTAACTGTTATTCAAGTGACAGTATCTGACTATACATTTTCTGTTATGTGCAGTCAGAGTTTCACCATGTTTCACATTAGCTCACAGAAAAAGTTCTGGACATTCGACAATGAAGAAAGTCTGGAACAACTGAGATATGAAGCCAACCAGAAATATCGCAACAAAATGTTTGCCAGTGGGAAGGTAACATTATTTTATAATGTAACATTGGTGGGATGGAGTTTTGGCACAGATACAACATCTGGTTAATTATTCTATTTGTATTTAGTGGCTGACAAGGCAGCAGCTACTCTTCCTGGGGTCCAGCAAAATTAAGGCAGTTATACATTTAAAAAACATTACAATTAATTCATAACAGATTTCACAACATATTAAGTGTGTGCCCTCAGGCCTCTACTCTACTACCACATATCTATAACACAAAATACATGTGTATGTGTTTGTATAGTGCGTATGTTACAGTGTGTTTGTATGCATGTGGCTATGTTTGTGTTGCTTTACAGTCCCCGCTGTTCCATAAGGTGTATTTTTATCTGTTTTGTAAGTCTAATTTTACTGCTGTCATGAGTTACTTGATGTGGAATAGAGTTCCATGTAGTCATGGCTCTATGTAGTACTGTGCGCCTCCCATAGTCTGTTCTTGACTTGGGGACTGTGAAGAGACCTCCCGAGTGGCGCAGTGGTCTAAGGCACTGCATCGCAGTACTAGCTGTGCCACTAGAGATCCTGGTTCGAATCCAGGCTCAGTCGTAGCCGGCCGCGACCGGGAGACCCATGGGGCGGCGCACAATTAGCCCAGCGTCGTCCAGGGTAGGGGAGGGCATGGCCGGCAGGGATGTAGCTCAGTTGGTAGAGCATGGTGTTTGCAACGCCAGGGTTGTGGGTTCGATTCTCAAGGGGCCAGTATGAAAAATAAAAAAATAATGTATGCACTCACTAACTGTAAGTCGCTCTGGATAAGAGCGTCTGCTAAATGACTAAAATGTAAATGTAAAATGTGGCATGTCTTGTGGGGTATGCATGGGTGTCCGAGCCAGTTGTTCAAACAGATAGCTCGGTTCATTCAACATGTCACGAATACAAGTAGTGTTGAAGTCAATCTCTCCTCCACTTTGAGCCAGAAGAGATTGACATTTATATTATTAATGTTAGCTCTCTGTGTATATCCAAGGGCCAGCCGTGCTGCCCTGTTCTGAGCCAATTGCAATTTTCCTAAGTCCCTCTTTGTGACACCTGACCACACTACTGAACAGTAAGTAGTGCAGGTGTGACAAAACTAGGGCCTGTAGGACCTGCCTTGTTGATAGTGCTGTTAAGAATGCAGAGCAGCGCTTTATTATAGACAGACTTCTCCCCAACCTAGCTACTGTTGTATCAATATGTTTTGACCATGACAGTTTACAATCCAGGGTAACTCCAAGCAATTTAGTCTCCTCAACTTGCTCAATTTCCACATTATTCATTACAAGATTTAGTTGAGGTTTAGAATTTAGTAAATTATTTGTCCCAAATACAATGCTTTTAGTTTTTGAAATATTTAGGACTGACTTATTCCTTGCCACTGATTCTGAAACTAACTGCAGCTCTTTGTTAAGTGTTGCTGTCATTTCAGTCGCTGTGGTAGCTGACTTGTATGGTGTTGAGTCATCCGCATACATAGACACACTGGCTTTACTCAAAGATTGAAAAAAGTAAGGGGCCTAGACAGCTGCCCTGGGGAATTCCTGATTCTACCTGGATTTTGTTGGAGAGGCTTCCATTAAATAACACCCTCTGTGTTATGTTAGACGGGTAACTCTTTATCCACAATATAGCAGGGGGTGTAAAGCCATAACACACAATTTTTTTCCAGCAACAGACTATGATTGATAATGTCAAAAGCCGCACTGAAGTCTAACAAAACAGGCCCTACAATATTTTTATCATCAATTTCTCTCAGCCAATCATCAGTCGTTTGTGTAAGTGCTGTGCTTGTTGAATGTCCTTCCCTATAAGCGTGCTGAAAGTCTGTTGTCAATTTGGTTACTGTGAAATAGCATTTTATCTGGTCAAACACCATTTTTTCCAAAAGTTTACTAAGGTTTGGTAACAGGCTGATTGGTTGGCTATTTGAGCCAGTTAAAGGGGCTTTACTATTCTTAGGTAGGGGAATAACTTTAGCTTCCCTCCAGGCTTGAGGGCACACACTTTCTAGTAGGCTTAAATTGAAGATATGGCAAATAGGAGTGGCAATATCGTCCGCTATTATCCTCAGTAATTTTCCATCCATGTGACCCCGGTGGCTTGTCATTGTTGATCGACAATAATACTTTTTTCAGCTCTTCCACACATACTTTACGAAATTCAAAATTACAATGCTTGTCTTTCATAATTTGGTCAGATGTACTTGGATGTGTAGTGTCAGCATTTGTTGCTGGCATGTCATGCCTAAGTTTGCTAATCTTGCCAATGAAAAAATCATTAAAGTAGTTGGCTCATTCATCACAAAACCCACTGATATTGCCATCTGATTCAATGAATGATGGAGCCGCGTTTGCCTTTTTGCCCAAAATGTCATTTCTTTGTTTCATAGAGTAGTTTCTTCTTTTTATTCAGTTTAGTCACATGATTTCTCAATTTGCAGTATGTTTGCCAATCGGTTGTACAGCCAGACCTATTTGCCATCTCTTTTGCCTCATCCCTCTCAACCATACAATTTTTTTATTCCACAGGGATTTAACCGTTTTTACAGTGATATTCATAATGGGTGCATACTTATTAGTAACTGGGATAAGCAATTTCATAAATGTGTCAAGTGCAGCATCTGGTTGCTCGTCATTACTCACCACAGACCAACAAATATTCCCCACATCAACACATAAGAATCACTACATAACTTCTTGCATGACCTCTTATACACAATATTAGGCCCAGCCTTTGGAATTTTGGTTTTCCTAGATATGGCTACTATATTGTGATCACTACATCCAATGGATTTGGATACTGCTTTCAAACAAATTTCTGCAGCATTAGTAAAGATATGATCAATACATGTTGACAATTTCATTCCTGTACTGTTTGTAACTACCCTGGTAGGTTGATTGATAACCTGAACCAGGTTGCAGGCACTAGTTACAGTTTGAAGCTTTCTCTTGAGTGGGCAGCCTGATGAAAGCCAGTCAATATTGAAATCACCCAGAAAGTATACCTCTATTGATATCACATATATTATCAAGCATTTCACACGTTATCCAGATACTGACTGTTAGCACTTGGTGGTCTATAGCAGCTTCCAACCAGAATGGGCTTTAGGTGAGGCAGGTGAACCTGTAGCCATATTACTTCAACAGTATTTAACATGAGATCCTCTCTAAGCTTTACAGTAATGTGGTTCTGAATATAGACCGCAACACTGACTCCATTGGCATTTTTATTTTCTGTAAATGTTATAACCTTGTATTGCTACCACTGTATCAACAAAGGTATTATCTAAGTGAGTTTCAGAGATTGTCAGAATATGAATGTCATCTGTTACTAGCAAATTATTGATTTCATGAACCTTGTTTCTTAAGCTACATATGTTAACGTGGGCTATTTTTAACACTTTTCTGGGATGCTTGATTATTTTTCTTACTTTACTGGGAAGCTTAGCAGAGGTAGACATTCTCAGGTTATTTGTATTAGTGCAGGGTGAGCTGCACACAGTGGACTTCCTACTAGGGCACACCACCTCAGTGCTAACAGTATTACTCTGGTTCATAGGCATATGATTACTGCATACAATAGCTGTAGGATCAGCAGAGGCATCCTGGGCAGTAAGAGGGACATAAATTAGGTTATTTACATTGAGTCTTCCAATGCCTCTAGGATAATGTACATTTGCTGAATCATTATGACAACTCAGCGACACAATGGTAGGGATTAAATGAGCTGGACTTGGGTCATTGTCTCAACGCAGCCTTTATAATGCTGTGAAAGGATCCAGGAACCCAAATGATTTGGGTGGATCCCATCCTCCTTATAATACAAGCTTTGTTTCCAGAAGGTATCAAAATTGTCAATAAATGTTACACCCACAGAGCTGCAATAGTCTTGTAGCCAGTTATGGAGGGCTAAAAGTCTGCTGAAACGTTCAATGCCAGGATTTAGGGAGGGCACAGGGCCAAATATTATGGGGCGTTTGTTGGTGTCAAGCAGAGACCCAATCAGTTCTTTAAAATCCATCTTCAGCTGTTCTGAGCTGCCCTTCATAATGTAATTTGACCCCACATGAACCATGACAGTATCAGCCCCCGGTGACTGATGTTTAACCGGTGTATACATCTTAAGCATCTGGTTGACGTTTCCACTCATCACCAAATATGGTGATGTGAGGAAGCCCAGTGGGAGAAGATGGAGCAAGATGGATTTTGGCCAACATTCTGCACATTTTCCTCATCGATTAAACGTTTGATGTCAATACAGTTTTCTGTTCCCAAAATGAAAATCTGTTACGAACAGAATGGACTAAGTAGACTTTACCCTTTGCAAAAGTTTGTAAAAATATGTTCAGGAGTGCAAGGGCTAATTGAGTTATTGCACACACACACTTCAGAGTATGCGTTCCCTAACGGAAATATGCAAATACATGCTAGAACGCGCCAATAGGATCTTGTGCTTGGCTCTGCCCACCTCCTTGCTTGATCTGCACACTATGATTAATTTGCTCCTATTGTAAAACAACAGGCTGTGTTCTATATTGGGTAAGTTATAAAATAAACTTTGGCTTTGGCCTGCCAGGTGAATTAGACCTAGTTAATAGACCAATAAGAAAGAGTTACAAAGAGCTAATTTTCAGTTTTCCACTCCCTGCTCAGACCACTCCCAGACAGTCCTAGCTAAATTCTTGCGTGAGAAATTGCTTTTTGCTAAGAAGCTATTTTTGAGAATTTTAATGGTACTTGTTACACAGAAATGATTTGATACTGAGATAAAAATGGCTGCATTGGACCTTTTAAAACTTTGATTATAGTTGCCACCTGCTTCCAACTTTGAGTTTGTTAATGCCCTTGTTCCCCCTCTCATCCTTTCCTTTACCCCTACCTTGATAAAGCCTGGGGTTAGTGATGCCTTGTTCCTGGAGGCTCACGAGGAGAACGTCCTTTTCAGACACTATGAGAAGAGACTCCTTGACTTCTGTAATGCTTTCAAACCTGTGATGCCCAAGTCTGTTGTGGTATGTATTTTGTAAGGGTACACCGTAAATCAGACCTAGACTAACTGGATTTATCTGAGGGGCTTAACAGTGCAATCATCTCGACAGGGTACAGCTATCATGTATTTCCGGAGATTTTACCTGAACAACTCACTGATGGAATACCACCCTAGAACAATCATGTGAGTAGTAAAGTGCTTGTCTTTGACTAGTAGTCCCAGAGCCTTATGTTGAGAAACTCCTATTTAGAAACGGATACACACTTGATTTCTGAACTCACTGTACATAACCTCTCTCGCCCTCATTCTCTCTTCACATATTTTCCTTCTCCTCCTGACCTCCCTTTCCTCTGCTGTTCTGTTTGTCACCCAATCTCCTTGCCACCCTTATCATCCCTTTTTGTCCCACCTCTGCCCTGGCTTCTTTCTTTCTTTCAGGCGGATCTGTGCCTACCTGTCCTGTAAGGTGGATGAGTTTAACGTGTCCAGCACCCAGTTTGTGGGGAATCTTGTGCAGGAGAGTGCGGCCGGGCAGGAGAGGGCTCTTGAACAGATTTTGGAGTATGAGCTCCTTCTCATTCAGCAGCTCAACTTCCACCTGGTGGTGCACACCCCCTACAGACCTATGGAGGGCCTGCTCATAGACCTCAAGGTGGGTGGATGGAGATACTTACCGGGTCTATGATGCTCAGTAGCGATACAGCAGATGAACATAACCCGATGTAGTGTAGTGCAAGAATATGCTGCTGAGATTTAAAGAGCCATGTTGCGGACGTTGTTGATTCTGTAAGAATAGAAAACCCAGCAGGTTATGTACCAACTAAGGCTTCAGTTAACAGCCTTGTCTATTGGTGACCTTTACCTCAGACAAGGTACCCTCTTCTGGAGAACCCAGAGTCTCTGAGGAAGAGCGTTGATGACTTCCTGACGCGGGCCACCCTGACGGACAGTGGGCTGCTGTTTCCCCCATCTCAGATCGCCTTGACGGCCATTCTGAACAGTGCGTCGCGGGCCGGCCTCAGCATGGAGAGGTAGGCCACCAACTGGGCTCTGTGTTCTAGACTAGAGCAAGGCAATGTTCCAGGGGATATGGGTCAAACATGGCCTAGAGAACAGCAAGTGAAAACAAACATTCTTCCATAGTGTATTGTAGACAGGGTAGTATTCTCACAATCTGTTTTCATTAATTGTTAGGATAAATTTAGCCTTGAACTAGTTGTTGTCCCCTTTGTTATAGCTATCTGACAGAATGTATGGGACTGAAGGAGGACAAAGAGACCCTCTTAAAGATGTACGATGCGATGAGACGTAAGTGTTTTTGCCTGCATCGTTGCATTTACCAATTACAACCACAAGTTGGCAGGTTTGATCAGAGTTGTGACATCACATCCACATTGTACAACATTCTACAAAGCAACATTAACATGTTGTTTCAGTGACAAACATCAACATTTGTTTTTCCTTTTCACACAGGGATAAAAAGTCTCATGAAAAAGTATGAACTTCCGAAACCAGACGAGGTGAACGCTTACAAAGTGAAACTGGAGAGGGTCCATGCTGACTTTGGCACAAACTCCAACGCGTACGTATAGCCTTCTTGAATGCATGCATCTGTCAGTTACAAGCACATGCAATTGTTACATTGCACAAATACAGTGTGTATGGTTACATGGGTGCGCTACCACGCAACTGGGGAGGGAGTTTCAAGGTAGAAATGATCAGCTGACTTGAGTAACAGGTTAATATTGTGTGATAGGAATGGCTGTCAGGTAAGGAGAGGATATTCTGGCCTCTGAGACTACTATAACAATCAGGACTCCCCCAAACTCCCTTCATAGTTAACGAAGCAATACCTTTCTCCATACATACCAACAGTTTTATTTAGCCAGGTCGATCAAGTGTATCTAAGATGCAAAATATTCACGGTTCTGTCTATCAGCTATATGAAATAAAGAAGAAGCAGAACAGTTTCACACTCCATGAAGCAGAGCAGACATTTTATATATTTGAAGAGAGGAGTTTAATCTCACCCATATCTCAAGTCTATGAACACTTAGGTGAGGGTTTGTAAGGTCTGTGTACTCTTCAGTGTATCTAAATTAGTCTGACTTTTCGAGCTGTTTGGATGAGCAGTCGATGGCTGTACTAAGTCAGCCAGTTCTCATCCAAACGACAGAGATGGGTGAATCTGTGCATGGCCTGCACAAAATTAATCTATCTTGGTCAGTGTGGTGTTGGCTTGTATCACCAAGGAAAGTGGGTTAGTGAGGGTTACATTGAAGTTGCAAATATATGAAAGCTTCAGTTGATGAGCCCAGGCATAAAGGGAGGATTTCTCAGTTCCTTTAGTTTCTCAGAGCAGCACATATGTAGGCCCAGACATCAGACGGTTTCCATAGGGTTACACATGCGCAGGTTACAAAACATTCTTACAAACTCTGTTAGGTTAACATTTGTATGATAGTTAAATGGAGTAAGCTATCATACATAAACACTGGTTTTGTCATATTATAACAGGCAAAGCAGCATAGAAAAGATATCGCTAGTAGCTTCAGTGCTATATACAGGTCATTTGTAAGTCGCTCTGGATAAGAGCTTAAATGTAACTGACAAAATAAAGATAACCCCAAGTGTCTTAATAGGGCGTTGGGCCACCACGAACCGCCAGAACAGCTTCAATGCACCTTAGCATAGATTCTACAAGTGTCTGGAACTCTACTGGAGGGAGGCAACACCATTCTTCCATGAGAAATTTCATCATTTGGTGTTTTGTTGGTGGTAAAAACGCGGTCTCAGGCGCCGCTCCAGAATCTCCCATAAGTGTTCAATTCGGTTGAGATCTGGTGACTGAGACAGCCATGGCAGATGGTTTACATTGTTTAAGCTCATCAAACCATTGTGACCACTCATACTCTGGATATGGGCATTGTCATCCACTCCTATCTAAGGGGTTGGGTGAACCTAAACCATGCCAGGAAAATGCACCCCACACCATAAGAGCCTCCAGAACCCTAATTTATTCCGGTGCTTCCACTATTTTGGCAGTTACCTGTATATGAAGCTAGTGTGAATTGTAAACTGCCATTTTGGAGTTAGGAAGAGGTTGGGTTGTGAAAGTCAAGTGGAGTAGGGGTGTGTAAAGTGAGTTAAGGCTTGTCTTGGAGAGGTGCTATGTTAGATTTCCCTGAAGATCGTGGTTATCGCTACGATGCTTTGGCTCGCTGCTGCACTAAGGCCCTCTGGGAAGGTTCCACTGTTGAAAAGGAGGCAGTGTGTAGGTACCTCTAGGGTTCAAGTCAGGCCCCCTCCCAAATTCAGGACAAAGCCCAAGCCAATCAACATACAGGAGGTGATCCAGTTCATAGATCTCTTTAGCTGTCTGTAAGCTATAACATAACTGCCATATAGGCTAACAGTCTTCAGTGACCTCTTCATGTCTGTCTGGCCCTCTCAGCTTGAATATAGTTCAGGTTAGCATTGGGTAAGGTGAGTTCTTATTTCACCGTGTCTGTTCAAGGGCTTTGGGACTGGCAAGAGATTCCCAGATCCACAGTCAGTCACATTCCCATTGCAGGGCTCAGCCAGCCATAGTGGACCGAAATGGCCAGAAAGCTACATGCTCAATACAAATCCACCTGGTCTCCGGTCCAGCGCTCCATGCCAGTACTTGGGCTTGCTGGCTGTTTGGTGGACTGACTGACCTGTCTAGTCTCATTTGTAGAATTCACATTACCTGGATGGTGGCAGCCAATGCCATGACGGTGCACTCGGTCCTGCAAGACAAAGTGTACACTGTTGAAAAGGCCTCACATTGATCAGTTACATCTTAATGCCATTTATTAAAGACTATGCCACCCTACCCCTTCTATATCCATACAATCTGATATGAACTCCGGAGGGCGTTCACCGTGGTGTCATGACAGATGGTACTCTTATACCTAGATGACAGGGGGCTGTAGATGCGCATGTCTTGAAGGGAAGATCATGAGGCGAGAACATGGGGAAAACATGTTTAACAACAAGTGGCCTGCTAAAACAGCTTCCAGCAGACCGATCTCATGATTCTTTACCTTCCATAAATCCACAGTCAGTTATAGCCTACAGGTTACCAATACTTCATATACCACCCAAAACAAAGATTGTGCACTCTTACATCTGCCAGAAAGTTTGAAAAAAAATCTCAATCTATTTTACAGGAAAAGAAAGAGAGGATATGAGGATGACGATCATGTAGCGAAAGAGCCCCGAATGACAGAGGTGAGTGAAACCACTTCAACACATTTTGGCTACCATAAATTTCAGGTCATTAAATAGCTTGCTGTGTTTTCTAGGAGGAGTGGACTGATGAAGATCTGGATTTGGATGAATTATGAAAACATTTAGGGCTTTATTCAATCTGTATCACTGAATTTCCGATTGAGCGGACATATGCAGTGTTTACTGTGAATGCAGTCTCCGCTCTGCTAACATTGCCTTTAAATCACTAAACGCTGAACTTCTGCGAAATGGATTGAATCGAGCCCGTTAGTTTGAGCCAAATATCACCCAACCCTTTTTGTCACTGAAGGATCAGCAATATTGTCTCATGGCCTACCCAGTGTGGGAAAGAATCCACCATTAGAGAGGACTTGAAGATTGTTTTTCTTTGTTCTTATCAGGCCATACATTATGGTCTTGTCATTTTTTCCTGTAAGATAATAAACCTATTTTTGTACACGTTTTATGGAGTGTCACTTTAAATACCAAATGTCTTCATCTCGTGATAATGTGGTACATTTATGCGTGAATATTTCATGGAAAGAGTTTAGGCGGGCATCCTTTGTTTACAACAGCACTAGGCTCTGTGAGCAGAGCTTCAATACACCATTTTAAACAGTGCGTTATGATAAGGCTGCTCTTCTAAATCTCAAACCTGGGTTTTCAGGAGAAATACATCGCAAAGGAACAATCCTGAATGCACTTTGAACAATCAATTACCTGGGGAAGAAAAGACTCCATTATCTACTTTACAAAAAACTGTTTAATAAGTGCATGCATGTCTGATACAATCTGTACTATTAAAAAAAATGTACTGCTGTAAACATTTATTAACTTGGTTTCTTTGATTATGTATCTTGTCTGGCATTGAGAAGAATGAACTAAAACACGATACAGTTGAAAAACAAAACAATTCAGTTTCTCATTTATATACTATTATATACTCATGATTCCAGCAAGAGAATTTGACATAAAATAACCATACTTTCTGCATGAACATTTCCAAACTAAACTAGAGAACAAAAAATACTAGACAAATAGATAGGAAACGCTAGTTTCAGCACTTTGTGGATATTGTCACGACCACAAAAGAAATCAGTCAAATTACTGTATAAAAAGCATTATCGCTCATAATCCAGTTATAAGAAAAACAGGGTTGACTGTAGCTTCATGTCAGTAGACTTTCCTCATATTGAGCAGGGAGATGGTTAGATATACTTTGGCAACCTGTGCTGTGTGGACAAACATGTCTTGGGTATGTGAAGCTTTGCTTTGAAATCAAATCTTTGACCCTTTTGATAAAGGGGTACGAAACATATGTACCCAAGTCACAGAATCATGAACACAGTTTATCAGAAAAATAAAATATTTGTGCAAGTTTAGTTTTTTTTAGGTACTGCGTTGGTTGGTTGTTCGGTTTGCTGCTGTTCTCGTGGCATGGGAAATATGGTGGGCGGGGCTGTCGGAGGAGATGAGGGGTGGGGTTGCCATGGTGATGAGTGGAGCATGCTGGGTCAGGTCCCGTGTGCGACTCCGTGCGAGGAGGAGGAGGGATGGAGGGTGAGAGGGGAGGAGTACTGTACTACCTGTTGCTGTTGGACATGGCATAGTGAACCTGTTTCTGCTGAAGGAGCTCAGTGATGGCCAGCAGCTTTTTCAGCACGTGCTACAAAGAGAGAAACATGAGAGACAGCCATGGTTTACAATCGTCATGGCATGTTTTTGGTACCATTTGTCATTAACAGATTCAAAAAGCCTTTTTGGCCTTTCAATCACTGGTTGAATGCCCTTGCCACACACACCTGCTGTGCTCCCCTCTCGTTGCTCAGGGTGCGGAGGTCGTCTGAATGTGAGACACAGATCTCATGCAGGGCTGCGAGGTCACGGGACAGGTCTGTCCTAAAGTGCTCTGTAGCTTCAGGGAGGTCAGGGACATTCTGTAAAGGACACACACGTTAACGTCTTACCTAGACATTGGAACAGAACTGCCACAGGTTTCTAAAGAGTTCCAATTGTGTCTAAAGGAGATGGAAACAGGTAACCTACCCCCAACTCATCCAGAAACATGATCATCCTATGTTTGTTGTTTTTGATGAAGGGGTTCACTCCCTCCATGTAGGGCTCCTAGATTGAAGAGGAACACACTCCATTACCATCTTTGTCAAAGTATTCAGTAGTTTCCTGAAGGATGGAAACGAGGTACAATGCACATCTATGGAGGATTACACTTTGGTTTGCCTGCGCTTAGACAACACAGGGATACGAACGTCCCCACACAGAACAGTGTATGATGTTTAAGGTGGCCATACCTTTGCACCAAACTCCACCAGGTTAGCCAGGTTCTGGACAGACTTGGCAATCAATGTGAGGGTACGGCCCGCTGTTGCAGAGGGAGGGTCTACACGCAAAAAAAAGTCATGTATGGACTCATACTGTTCAATCCATGCTAAGAAATAATCAATTTCTGCAATACCAAATACAAAGGGTATAGGCTCACCAGCAATGATGTTGAACATTCTTGGGTTGAGGATGGCAGGACAGATCAGTCTCAGGAACACAAAGCCACTGGGAAGAGTCAAACAAGTATTGGTTAGATCAGTGCTTCCCAAACGTTCCCCCCTTGACCAAAGGCACCATAAAACTAGAATGGTTTCTAATGATCCATTCTAATTCTGTGAGCTGACTATCCATGAGGGTTGCAGATGGCAAAGTAGATCCATGGTGTGTATGGGTAGTTACCTTACGACTCTGGTTCTCATGGTGGTGTTGGTGGGCCATTTCTGCTGCACTGATTTCTGCAGACACCCATAGATATACCTTAGAGTCCTGGAAAGGTCACGGGAGAGAGAGAGAGTGAGAAGACTGAATGTACTGGGACATGACTTAAATATACGGTATAAACTTCAAACTATCCTATGGACGTACTTAATGTGTTCAGTTCATTTGTTGTTTTGTCTGATGACATAATAGATTGATTGTACTACAGGAGAATGTCATGATATACAGGGTTCAAACTATGGAGATGGTTACTTAAATGGCAGTGCATATTTAACCGGCAGAAAATGAAATGGCGGCGGTACGCTAACCCAATGTTACTTTTATGCCTTTCCGTAACCCTTACTGAAACTATTCCTAACCTTAACCTCAATTAATTTCGACCCCTATGCCTAAACCTACGTTTTTGTTCTGCCGGTCGGATATACACTTCCTTACTTATTAGGGTTGGGCCGATGAACGATGTCATCAGGTGTTGATAATGATTGACAGCCATCGTCGATGGGGACGTCATCGTCGATGACAGATGATAACCTATTTACACTTGACAAAGCAGAACAGTGCAGACAGTGACATTTCAGAATTCTAGTCAAATGAACAACTGGGATTGATTCGTCTTTTTGTTAGTCCAAATCAATGAGTCCCGATCGACGATATGCCAAAAGTTCATACGTCGCCCAACCCTATGTGGATGGTTCCCGTGTTAGTTTGTTGGTATGTGCAACGTGGAGTGGTGTGTGTGTGTGTGTGTGTGTGTGTGTGTGTGTGTGTGCTTACGGGGGCAGGATCTCAGCAGCCATGAAGATCTTCTCCACCAGCTCAGACAGGATGTTGAGGAGGTGGGCCAGGTTCAGATTCACATCCTCATTCTTCTCCAGTTTGGAGGGGTTCAGCTAGTGAGGGGGACACACAGAAAAACAGAGGGAGGGAGGGAGGGAAAAAGATGATGTGCCATCATACAAATAGAAGTGTGCTCGTGAACAAAAATATGACGGGCTACATAAGATTCTTTCACTAGAGTAGGATTTGCTGTTGAAAGCAACTGTGGAAGATAATGTGTAATGCCCTCTGTTCCACTGGAGGAGACATTCAGTCAGTCTGAAGAGTCCTGTGAGATCACAACAGCACTGTGAATGCCAAGGTTGAATCTGTGTCATTGTGACATGAGTTACTGTTTTGTCTTCTGGGTAGCCCAAGTACTGATATGATGTTATAAATGCCAAGTGTTCCGCTCGGGAGATAAAGTAACGAATAGCTGGGTTGTAGCCCACGCACTTCTCTGCTGAAAGAGTTGACTAAAGTAACTTTACAGACGCAAGATGTTGCCAAACTACAGTAGGTAGAGCTTGGGCTAAACAAAATAAGGCTAAAGCCTTTCTGCATGTCAGAAAATGTGTTTGTGTTTGTGTGTGTGTTTACCTCGCAGGACTGCTTGCTCTCCATGATCTTGAGGATGGTGTCTTTGAGGGCGTGGTGGACGAAGGGTGTGGCTGTGGCCTTCATGTACTGCTCCATCAGCGTGCTGGCCAGCGTGGTCGCTCGGAACAGGGTCGTCGCCTCGTCTGGGAACCACCAGAGAGAGGAGACTTCTCATCAGCCAAGTGTGTGTGTCTGTCATAGCTTTCATGTTGGAATCATAAACACAAAGCATCTAAAAGTGGAGATAACCTACTTCACAATGATAAAGAGCCATTCAAAACAGCACAATGTTGCTACAACAATAGATTATCTTTGCATGTTTTGAAATTCATATTTAGAGGCGTGTTTGTCTTACCCTCCATGTTGATCTCTCGGTCGTTGAGTGTCCTGAGTAAGGGGGCCTCGGTCTTCTCATGTCTGAAGATACGCAGCAGGATGCTGGCCAGCAGGGTGCGGTCCTGCCCACACACATGGGCCAGAGCATAGATCACATGGAACTCCTTCAGCAGGATCAGCTGTGGACACACACACACACAAACACACATAACCAGACAGACAGACAGTGAATGTCCGTGACCTATGGTCAAACAAGTGGCCATCATTTTCACATGTCTTTTTCCAGGACACATACTATGTACCTCACAAGTAATACAGTATTTGTTACCAACTGCTGATCCATGTTTTGGTGTCTAACTTAGTGCAACCGAGTATGAGCTGGTCTTTGTACCTTGACTCATGGTAATCCTTCATTAATGAATTAATTCATCATCTTCAATAATAAGTGTGTGTGTCTGACCTCTTTGAACTCGCTGTACTCCTCCTCAGGCATGATCTTCTCCATGGAGTAGCGGGCTCGCACCCTCAGAGAGCCCGGCTCGATGCCTTTCAGAGGCACGTGGGAGCTCAGAGGGAACCACTCGTCTATCATCTGGCCCTTCTGCAGGCGGCTCAGCTGGCAACGCATGAACACTGAGGCAGAAGGAGAGACAATTAGTGGAACCCACAGACACAAAACACTGTGGCAGGAGTCCTGTTTTTCTCATATCAATATGGAATGGGATTATAAAGAGAGATTGTTTGATTTGGTGACATAGCTCTAGTCTAAGTAGAACCGAGACTCACAGATGTCACTTTCTTTGCTCTTCTTTGTCTTGTTACTCAGGCTGATTTCAAACCTGTTGATTTCACTCGACAAGTCACTGAAGGGGGGGAAAAAAATAGAAAGATATCAATTTAGGGAACCCAAACATGATTGGCCAGCTAATTCATTGTGTCAATTAATTATTACTGACATATCATTAGTAAGTGCAGTATGGAAGCCAAATAAAAATGTCCCAATTCCCCCTAAATTGCCAATAACGCTTTGAATGGAGTTGGAATTGGGACTCACTCAAAGATGAACTCCTCGGTGAAGACTGGGTTCTGGCCCTCCCGGGGGTGGGTCTTGGCCACCTGCACACTGTTCAGGTAGATGTTGCAGTAGGGGTTGGTGAAGTGCTTCGCCGGCAGCTTGTGGGCCTCCTCCACGTACAGGACCAGACTGCTCACCTGATGGGACACAAACCAGGTCAACAGTCAGGCAGTCAGTCACAGCCAGGGTTTCTGATGACTCAGCTGCTTGGAACTCCAAAGTAGTGGGTTTAAATCCCACATGGGCCACCTATATGTGTTCGCTGTAAGACTCTTTGGATAAATGGCATCTGCTAAAAAGTAAACTTTTTTTAAAGAAAGGAGTGATGAATTGGGGTTGTTCTTTGGGGAGTTAGGCCCAACTTGCATTTTAAGATTCAATACTTTTTTGCCATATCAAACAATGTTGTTAGGAATTTGATTTGGTGTCGTTTATAAAAAAAGATTAAAAAATACACATTGTGCATATATTTGTGAAAAATGAAAATTTTAGAAATGATAAAGCGCAATAAAAATAGCACTTGACAGTGTGTTTATACCTGTCGGAGCCTCTTGTTGGGAGTGGGCTGGGTGGGTTTCCTAAGGTTACTGCAGAACGTCTGCAGACATTTCATCCAGTCCTACAGAGAGGAAAGAACACTGTTAGACTAAAGAATGGTGTGATTGGAGAATGTCCCAAAGAGAGAATGAGAGAGTGTGAGAGACAGATCAGTACAAACCTGTGCCTGTTCAGGAATCTCGCCAGCAAAGTAGAATATGTACTGTTCCTCACTAAAGTGCTGGACCACAACTTGGAAACAGTTTGGCCTGCAAACAAAAACAGGAGCAGCTAGGTATTACTGAAAAAGCACATGCCCAATCGAATGTATGCACTCCTATCAAACTCAGACATGGCTACAAACAATGTATAAACAACAGCCATAGGCTTATGTTCTGTTGCACTGATTCATTCTTGTCCCAGTCAATGTTCACTCAGATTTAGGATCAATAGTAATGGGTGAAATGTCTCACCTGCCAAACAGACTGTCGTGCACGCCGTACACCGAGCACACGCTCAGGTCAATCAGGCCTTTGGGTTTGGTGGCTCTCTTCTCACTCTCAAAGTAGATGAGCTGGGCGTCGTTCCCCTCCAAGATGAAGTAGAGGTTCTTCCACCGCTTGCCTTTGCCTGGAAGGTCGGGAGAGGAGAGAGGAGAAGACATGAGGCCAATTCCCTCCCATCTGCCTACACTTGTTCACTTCCTCAAGTTTAGGGGGGAGTTTACATCATATTTCTTACATATCCTTGCCTTTTAAATCCACGAGGGGTAGTATACCAGTGACCACTTCAGGGAGAAGTGGGAGAGAGAGAAATGGGCTACGGTCTGGAAGATTACATTTACAGACATTTGAGCGTAAAAACATATGGGTACCTTTGTTGAATAGGAGGTAGCCTTTCTTGACAATGTTTTTGTAGAACGCGTCTTTCGTTTTCCGTCTGATAGTGTTATAGATCTCCTTGCCGTCCACCAAGTCTGAGAGCACTTGTTCCTGTTGCTGAAATACATGAACATGAATGTCAATAAAACAACAACACATCAACACAATTAAATACCTGCACATCTATAGCCGTCTCAAACTGATATGGACAGGAGTAGCACCACAATGGAGGTTAGTGGACTCAGGCTTACCTGCACTGAAACAGCATCTTTCAGGTTGTAGCCCTCCACGATCTGCTCTTTCTTATAATGCTCAATAATGTCATCAACACTGCCAGAGAGAGAAGAGACAGAGCACGGCAGTTATTTCTAACAACCAGCACTAACCACCATACTCAATCCTAACGCATCAGACTTCTGTATAGTCCTTCCTGTATAACCTCTACTTCTATGTGGAACTGTATACCTGGATATCCCAACAACATCTTTATATGATTACAGATATGATTACAGGTAAGGCCAAATGGCTTTCCTGACCACATCCCATGACCAGGAAAACCACTAGGCACTATTTATAGGCCAGGTTATTTCCTGATTCTATTAAACACCTCTTGGTTCAGCACTACTGCACTGGGAGACAGTATGCGCCGCCGCGACACGTACCTGTTGTAGTATCTCCCCCCCATCATGTACTGATTGTTGGGGGTGGGGCATATCTTAAACCTTTGGATGTTCTCATTGGTGCGAAAAAAGAGAGAGTAGTCCCCGGGTGTGTTGTCTGACGGCCGGACCAGGAAGCTGCACACTTGGCCAACTAAATAAGGGAGAGAGAAATCACATTGGTATTGTTGACATTGACAGTATTGATGCTTTACCACCAATAAATGATCAGAACATATATTTTAGCAACAGAAAAGGTTTGTTGACGACAAGATCACAGAAATGGGAGCATAATCCCATTGTTCTACATTCCTCGTGAGGAGAATGTATAATCTAGAGACAAAGAGAATATAGTGCTTGCTACCTGTCATCAGCAAGTTGTAGGCCTCTTGTTTGCTGATCTTGCCGTGATACCAACTACAGAGAGGATCAGGAAGGACCATTAGAGATAAAAAGGGAGATGGGAGGGTAAATAAAACCGACAGATCAATATGTGCTGGGTTTAAAGGGGCGGTTTTAGAAGGGTCCGATCAGAGTCTGGGATGATGAATCACAACCTGATAGATCCTATTGGACTTGGTCAATGGTGAACTCCCATCAGGTCAACAGCTAGTCAACTCTCATACATGGGCCAATGTCAGTAATTCTGACGATATCTCACTCCAAATACTCAACTACTGGTTCAAAACAAAGCAACCTTAGTCTGAATTCATTAACAGATACAAAATACAATTTCTTTAATGTTGGATTTGTAAAATATCTTTCGGTCTTTGGGAGGCCGGCAAACAAAATGAACACACATATACACTCTTACTGTTCGTTGGGTCAGAGTCACTACATCATTGAGATTCATTGAGCCGTGTAGATGCAAACATGGATTATGTCGAAGTCACTAAAGACGCATACTGTATACAGTACGCTCTCGCTCACGCTTCCCTGCCCATTCATGCACAACATGAAAACATCATTTGGCTGAAGGAAAGGGTAAACATGGGTTGCGTGCGTAGAGGTAGCCAGGAGGCAGGGACGTAATGAACCTCAAATGATAGGCTGTCTAAAAATAGGAACTAAACAGCCATTTTCATGAGAGTTAATGTTTTGTGGTGGGTTGGATAATGGTGGGTATTGAGAAAAGTATTGATGAAATGATCTGTATTGACAGAGGTTTACATATGTACTAAATAACATATACTGTACATAGACATTATGGCAACCTACGAGAAAAAGCTCAAATCAGAACTTACACTTTGCCCTCATGTGGGTCCTCCTCCCGTCCCTGAAAATAAGCATGAACAGTTCAACAAATTAGTGGAGACGTAATGACAAATGAAAAAGAAAACATCTGAAAAGACCCATAATGACTCCAATTGCCAGCTGAGTAGAAAAGGTTGAGAGAAGACGTTTTCAAATGGCAAACCATGGCTTTGTCCCAAAATGCACCCTATTCCCTGTATATAGTAGTGCCCTACATAGGGAATAGTGCGATTTGGAACACAGCCCAAGTGAATGGTTACAGGTTAGGGCTGATCCTAGACCTGTGCAGAGCAGACAGAGTGCTGTACTCTACTCACCACCTCCTTCACCAGGTCATCCACAATGAGGCCCTGCTCCTCCGTCCTCACGTTGGTCACCCACATCCAGCCGTCATCCAGTTCATTGTGAACAATAAACATGTCCCCTTTCAGGAAGCTGACAGACATGGAGAGGAGGGAAAAAAATAACTGCTCAACGTTCAGGGGGCAAAAAAGACGTGTTACCATCTTAACGTGCTGCTACACATGAAGTCACACCTGCATCTCCTGTTTCACAAAAACCCACTAAAATGCACTAGAAACATAGTCTTTGTTCTTTTCAATTGCGATTGGCTATTTAGTTATGAGATCTAAAGGCAGTGCGGACCCTTGAGGCTTTACAGCTTATTGTCGACGGAACTGTTTTGACATATGGTAGTCTTTGGGTGTAGTACCCGCCATTCTCCACAAGGTGTCTCATGTAAGCTACCAAACACCTTTGTGAAGAAATATTGCATGGTTCTTTCCAGCCAGCTAAGTCTGTGCTAGCAGTGTGTCTGTGTGAAGGGTTCAGACAGATTTGTCTCAGATCTGACATGTTGAAGAATTGTCAGGCTCATCTGTTAGCGTGCTGGGCTTCGCTAAATGAAAGGGAGAGGTCTGTTTTTGTACTATTCAGATAATGTGATCTCCAACAGGGCAAACACACACATTCACCTTCCACAAAATGTATTTCGATGTTTCTTATAGTGCTTACCTGATTTCATCGGTCTCTGGCACTTTGGTGTATGGAAGAATGGCTCTCACTCTCCTCCTGTCCTCTACAGGCTACACACACACGCACAGACAGACAATTAAACACAGAACTGCACATTTAACCCATGCTTCCACTAAAATGTTCACATCTTCAACCCCCCTCAGAATTCCTAATGAAAAGGATTCCACCAGACACCCTCCAGGATGATTTCACAGCCTCACACCACTCATTAGTATTTTGCCTGGCTTCTCTCCTGAGAGTGGTTATGATATATGGCCTGGGGGTGTAGGGGAAGTTGGGACAGATATTTCCCAGATATATTGAGTACGTGTCTAAGAATGTCTAACTTCCATTTCTACTTGAGTGCAATGGAATCTTACCTCTGGGGGCGCCACGGGCGATAGCAGCTTTTCACCTTTCAGCAGGCAAGACACGTAGCTGTAATAACCAATCAGGTCCGACAGGGACGAGAACCGCCGCCCGCCTATGTAATAGTCTCCACACATGGCGATTATCCTGTAAACACACACAGATACACACACACACACACACAACACTACGATTAATTGTTAAGCACAATGCATGCACAGTGTGCAGAAAGTACAAATAGGCCTAAGCTAAATTGACAATTTATCAGCAGACAACTAGTCTAAATTTTCCACATAATGACCCAAACCATCAAAAGAGTACAAGAGCAGAGCAGCACAGTGCTAAAATTAGGCCCAGTTGCTCTGGGATCAATGAAACAAAAGGAAAATACATGCATTAAACCACCATGACTCATCAGATAATAGTCTTGTGTGAAATTGCTCCAGTAATGACGACAAGGACATGATTAAAGTATTGGCGAGCCAGCAAACAGTGGGGAGCACGGAATAATCCTTCATTCTCAGCTCATCTGTTGAGCACATCTCAGTCTGACTATGGGGTAATGTAGACTAGACACCATTCAAGGACATCTTGCCATGGTTTTGCCTTCCTAATACCAATCCACAAGGGTTCCTAGCATCAATGCTATCATGTCTCTATAAAGTAATGCTGTGAATGAGACGTCATCATTTCCTAGTACGTTATCAATCGTCTATTGAAGTGCCTGGTGTTGATCAGGTCTAGGAGGGATTGGTCATGAATAAAGGTCGGGCCTTATCGACAGGTCTATCAAACTCATTGGAACAAATACAGTTGAATAAAAAAACTAAAATACAGTTGCAAACAGTATGCACTAGGGATGGAATTGCCAGGGACCTCATGATACAATATTATCAGGATACTTAGGTGCCGATTCGATATGTACTGCGATTCTCACGATTCTATATGTATAGCGATTCCATACTGCAATTTTATTTTGCGATTTGATGTTCCAAATATATTGCTCACTATATGTCTGCTGCAGAGAGATGAGAAAACACGTTTTGATCAGTAAGAGAAATAGAAATCCTAAAAACATGTTGGCTCACTATTTAAAAAGAGAACAAGCTATAGGATGTTTAATATCGGAGTTTTGGCGCAGGTACAGGCGACTAGCACTAGCTAACGCTACCTACTACATTCTGTTCTTCATCAAATCTATACCTTTAGTCAAATATCCATATCATATCGTCAAAGAATATCGCAATATGTTACTATCGATCCCCTGTAAGTTTGTATTCATACGTCGTACAAGGCCCTTGTGGTGTTGTCAAATAGCTGTAATTCACCTGCTACTGCTATCCCAGACTGTAAAAAATTTTCACCGTTACTGAATCAATTATACAATCATACAATTAATTTGACTTTGTTTTTAACAATCTAACTACATAACATAAATGGTAATATTTTATTTGAATGGTACATTTCTATTGATAAACTGGATAAATCAAGATGTAGCCTAGGCCTATTCACAATACAGGTGAATGCATATTCAATAGGAGTGTGTACATGCAAACAATGATTTCCATAGGATTTCTTTGTTTTTCAGGAGTTTACAGGTGAGGTGGTAAGACGGGGTAAAAAACTATTATAATGGAGAAATGGCAGATGAAAAACACTCTGCTTCCCTTCCAATTTCATTAGATACTTACTTTATTGTACTGATCAACAACATTTGCATAGAAGTAGCAACTTCTTCTTTTATAAAAGCTTGCTGTCTCTTTAACCCAGTAATGACGTCATTCATTCCGAGGCACATGCCCACAGTCAGTTGAGTCGAGTTTGATGAGGGAGAAGTGACAGAGACAAAAGGTCAAATAATCTTTGGACGTGAGGGAAACACGATTAAGTGAATTAATAATGTTTTTGGTGACAATAAGCTTTGAAATAAGCATATTTTGCATTATGGTTAGCATATTATCACAAACAAAGTACTAGGGTAGTGAATTGATGTTAGTGTCAGCTGTAAGCTAGCAAGGAAAGTTAGCCTACAAAGCTGGAAGCTACTGGTATCTTCTTGCATTGTAAAGTGTTCTGGCCAGTATGGACACTGTTTGCAAACAGTAATTAACAGATTCAACATTTCTACATGCCATGTTGCGTTATTCAAGTGTGTTAACTTCTATGCCGCATGAGTGGGGAACTAAACAGTTGCAGCCGCTCTAGCAATGAGTAAGTGGATTAGCCATGATAGGGAACATAGGCTGCAATGATACAGACTTGTATCCTCTCAATCAGTACATGATGTGAGACACATTTGACAGAAGTACCGAAAGTAACACATTCTAGTACCGAACCCTTTTCCATGTTCTAGTATCGAAAAAGTACTGACGTTTCGGTATACCGTGCAACACTACTGCATTGTGAATGAATGAACTCTGTGTTTATTAGCTCTCGAAAACTCTAGGTAGCATTCCACCTTCTCCCTACAGTTCTCAGCCATTAGCGTCACCCACGACTCCCTCGTGTGAACTACAATCCAGACGCTGTGTTTTAACAGTTAGAAATGTGAATAATCATCGCTCACGATGCGGCTTTCGAAACATGGGCCGGATCTTTCATCAGCGAGAAAGAATCCTTCAAACAAAAAACATGTACTTACTGTAGCAGTTTTGCACAGATCCATACAGCTATGGGTGCCTCCATCCAACAAAACTACACTTCCGCTACACTTCCCGTGTTACACTTATACACAGGTGTTCGGCGCATGCGAGATAGCTAATTAGCACAGGTGGTCGTCTCGTCGTCCGTCTGTTTTCCGTAAACAAGCGCTGTAACATGGAGATATGGCCGTGTGGGAACACTAACCCTAACCGTATCAAGGTGTGTATCAATTTAACCTTCTGTTATTTTTTAAAATAATTTCTTGCTGAAATGAAAGATAAGATCCTTATGCTTCCAAAACCGTACCGCAAGTGATGCGTGTTAATGTTCAGACCAAGCGTCAGGGGATCTTATCAAAACTGCCCCTTACAGAAGACGCCGTCGTCCAATGACTTAATGTGTAATGTAATGGAACTGAGAGTCGTGATCAAGGGCTAAGTGTTTATATGCTCTGTGTCTCTCTCTGTCTGTGTGTGTGTCTCTCCCTGTCTGTGTCTCTCCCTGTCTGTGTCTGTGTGTGTCTCACCCTGTCTGTGTGTGTGTCTCTCCCTGTCTGTGTGTGTGTGTGTCTCTCCCTGTCTGTGTGTGTGTCTCTCCCTGTCTGTGTCTGTGTGTGTCTCACCCTGTCTGTGTGTGTCTCTCCCTGTCTGTGTGTGTGTCTCTCCCTGTCTGTGTGTGTGTCTCTCCCTGTCTGTGTGTGTGTCTCTCCCAGTGTGTGTGTGTGTGTGTATGTCTCTCCCTGTCTGTGTGTGTGTCTGTGTGTGTGTCTCTCCCTGTCTCTCTGTCTCTCTCTCTGTCTGTCTGTCTGTGTCTCTGTCTGTCTGTGTGTGTGTGTCTCTGTCTGTCTGTGTGTGTCTCTGTCTGTCTGTCTGTGTGTGTCTCTGTCTGTGTGTGTGTCTCTGTCTGTGTGTGTCTCTGTCTGTGTGTGTGTCTCTGTCTGTGTGTGTGTCTCTGTCTGTCTGTCTGTGGTGTGTGTCTCTGTCTGTCTGTCTGTCTGTGTGTGTGTGTCTCTGTCTGTCTGTCTGTGTGTGTGTGTCTCTGTCTGTCTGTCTGTCTGTCTGTCTGTCTGTGTCTGTCTGTCTGTCTGTCTGTCTGTCTGTCCTTCTGTCTGTCGTTGTCTGTTCTGTCTGTCTGTGGTGTTCTGTCTGTCTGTGTGTGTGTCCTCTGTCTGTTCTTTGTCTGTTTGTCGTCTTGTCCTGTCTGCTTCTGTTGCTGTTGTCTCTGTCTTGTGTGTGGCTCTGTCTGTCTGTCTGTGTGTGTCTCTGTGTCTGTCTCGCCTGGTCTGGTCTGTGTGTGTTCTCTGTCTGTTCTGTTGTGTCCTGCTGGTCTGTCTGTCTGTGTGTTGTGTTGTCTGTGCTGTGTGTCTCTGTCTGTGCTGTCGTGTCTCTGTCTGTTCGTTGTCTGCTGTCGCTCTGTCTGTGTTGCTGTGTCTCTGTCTGTCTGTCTGCTGTCTCTGTCTGTGTTGTGTCTTCTGTCTGTCTGTCTGTCTGTGTGTCTCTGTCTGTCTGCTGTGTGTGTGTCTCTGTCTGTTGTCTGTGTGTGTCTCTGTCTGTGTGTCTGTCTGGTGTGTGTCTCTGTCTGTCTTTGTCTGTCTGTGTGTGTCTCTGTCTGTCGTCTGTGTGTTGTCGTTTTGTCTGTCTGTCTGTCTGTGTGTCTCTTGTCTGTCTCTGCTTGTTGTCTCTGTCTGTCGTTGTCTGTCTGTCGGTCTCGTTGTCTCGTGCTGTCTGCCTGTCTGTCTGCTGTCCTGTCTGCTGGTCTCTGTCTGTCTGTTGTCTCTGTGGTGTGTCTGTGTTGTCTCTGCTGTGTGTCTCGGTCTGTGCTGTGTCGTTTCTGCCTGGTTGTCTCTGTGTGCCTGCTGTGGGTCTTGTCTGTCTGTTGTAGTTGTCTCTGTCTGTCGCTGTCTGGGCTGCCGGGTCTGTCTGCCTGTCTGTCGTCTGTCTGTCTGTCTGTCTGTTTTTGTCTGTCTTTTTGTCTCTGTCGTCTGTCTGTCTGTTGTCTCTGTCTGTTGTCTGTCTGTGTCTGTCTGTCTGTCTGTATGTCTGTCTGTCTCTCTGTCGTGTGTCTCTGTCTGTGCGTGTGTCTCTGTCTGTCTGTCTGTGCGTGTGTCTCTGTCTGTCTGCCTGTGCGTGTGTCTCTGTCTGTCTGTCTGTCTGTCTGTCTGTGTGTCTATCTGTCTGTGTCTGTGTGTCCTCTGTCCTGTGTCTGTGTGTTCTCTGGCCTGTTCCTTGTCGTGTGTCTCTGTCTGTCGGTGTGTCTTTGTCTGTGTGTCTCTGTCTGTCCTGTCTGTCTGGTGTCTCGGTCTGTCTGTGTCTGTCTGTCTGTCTGTCTGTCTGTCTGGTCTGTCTGTCTGTTCTGTCCTGTCTGTCTCTGTGCGTGGTGTCTCTGTCTGTGCGTGGTGGTCCTCTGGTCCTGTCTGTGCGTGTGTCTCCGGCTGTGCGTGTGGTCTTCTGTCCTGTGCGTGTGCTGTGTCCTGCCTGTGCTGTGTCCTCCTGTGAGTGTCCGTCTCTGTTCTTGTGTCTGTCTATCTTCTGTCGTTGTGTCCCTATCTGTACTTGTGTCCTGTGTGTCTCTGTCTGGTGTCTGTGGTTCTCTGTCTGTCTGTGTCCTCTGTCCGGTCTGTCTGTCTGTTGTGTGTCTCTGTCTTGTTGTCTGTGTGTCTCTGTCTGGTCTGTCGTGTCTGTGTCTGTCTGTCTGTCTTGTTGTCTGTCGTCTGTCTGTTCGTGTCTGTGTTGGTTCGTCTGTCTGTCTTGTCTGTCGTTGTTGTTGGTGTCTTCTGTGCTGTGTCTGTTCGTTGTCTTGTCTGTGCTGGTTCTGTCTGTCTTCGGTGTCTGTCTGTCTGTGCGTTGTGTCCTTGTCTGTCTGTCTGTCGTGTGTCTTGTCTGTCTGTGTGTGTCTCTGTCTGTGCTGTGTGTCTCCTGTCTGTCTGTCTGTGTGTTGTCTTGTCGTGTCTGTCTGTCGTGTGTGTCTGTCTTTGTTCTGTGTGTGTGTTCTGTCTGGTCCTTGTCTGTCGTGTGTTCTGTCTGTCTTGTCTGTCGTGTCTCTGTCTGCTGTGTTGTTGTCTGTCTGTCTGTCTGTGTGTCTCTGTCTGTCTGTCTGGTGTGTGTTTGTTGTGTCTGTCTGTGTGTGTCTTGTCTGTCTTGCTGTTGTGTGTGTCTGTCTGTGTCGTGTGTCTCTGTCTGTTCTGTCTGTGTTGTGTGTCTGTCTGTTTCTGTCTGTGGTGTTCTCGTCGTCTGTCTGTGTGTGTCTCTGTCTGTCTGTCTGTCTGTCTGTGTGTCTCTTGTGTTGTTGCTTGCTGTGCTTGTGTAGTCTGTCTGTCTGCTGTGTGTCTCTGTTGTCTGTCGTGTGTGTCCTCTGTCTGTCTGGTTCTGTGTCTGTCTGTGTCTTCTGTCTGTCTGTGTGTGTGTTTCTGTCTGTCTGTGGTTGTGTCTCTGTCTTGTCTTCTCTGTGTCGTGTCTCTGTCTGTTTGTTTGATTGGCCGTCTTCGATGTGTGTGCTGCTGTGTTGCTGTGTCTCTGCTGTCTGCGTCGTCTTGTCTGTCGTCTGTTCTGTTGTTGTCTTGTGTCTGGTCTCTGCTGTGTGTCTCGGTCTCTGCCGTGTGTGTGTTGTCTGCTGTTGTCTCTGTGTGGTCTCTGTCGGTCTGTCTGTGTGTCTGTGTGTGTCGTGGTCGTGTGTCTGCTGTCGTGTGTCTGTCTGTCTGTCTGTCGGTTGTCTCTGTGTTCGTCTGTGTGTCTGTCTGTCTGTGTGGCGTCTGTGCTGTCTGTCTGTCTGCTGTGTCTGGGTCTTGTGTGTGTCTGTCTGTCTGTCTGTCTGCTGTCTGTGTGGTCGTTGTCTGTTGTGGGTCTCTGTCCTGCCTGTCTGTCTGTCTGTTGTGTGTGTCGTCTGTTGGTTGTGTGTGGCTTGTGTGTGTCTGCTCTGTGTCGTGTCTCGTCTGTCGTCTGTCTGTCTGTGTGTCTGTCTGTCGGGTGTCTGCCGTCTGTGTGTCTGTGTGTTGTGGTCTGTTGTGTGTCTCTTGTCTGTGTCTCTGTGTCTGTTCTGTCTGCGTGTTCTTCTGTCGGTCTCTGCGTCGTCTTGTCGTTGCGCGCTCTGTCTGTCTGTCTGGTCTCTGTCTGTCCGTGTCTGTCTGTCTGTCTGCGTGTCTCTGTCTGTCTGTCTGCGTGTCTCTGTCTGTCTGTCTGTGTGTCTCTGTCTGTCTGTCTGTGTGTCTCTGTCTGTCTGTATGTGTGTCTCTGTCTGTCTGTCTGTGTGTCTCTGTCTGACTGTGTGTCTGCGTCTGTCTGTGTGTCTGTGTCTGCCTGCCTGTCTGTCTGCGTCTGCCTGTCTGCGTCTGCCTATCTGTCTGCCGCAGTCTGTCTGTGTGTCTGCCGCAGTCTGTCTGTGTGTCTGCCGCAGTCTGTCTGTGTGTCTGCCGCAGTCTGTCTGTGTGTCTGCCGCAGTCTGTCTGTGTGTCTGTCTGTGTGTCTGTCCTGACCTGAAGTGGTTGACCACACTGGTCATGCTGAGAAAGGACAGGACAAAGGAGCCGGGCCGGCGGTCACTCTCCCTGATGAGGTAGCTGCCGGGGGTCCTGGCCTGCCGCAACCGCTCCTCAGCAATGGTCCGGTCCAGCTTCCCATGGTACCACCTGACACACACACACAGACAGGGAGGGAGGGAGAGAAACAGTCAGCCTCGGGTGACTAGGCCTACAGTTACACTATGTTGGACTCTGTATTCAGCTCACCATAAAAATAAAAATCAAGTGTTGTTTTTTTTTTATCTTGGGGAGACATTGTCAACACGAAGGCTATGTGTTCTATTTAGCGTACCATCTAAGAAGACTCCAGGAGGGAGTGACATATGCACAGTAACACACAAACAAGGTCTTCGTGTAGGCTTGTTACACGGCATGACATTATTCAAACATACTTCAGCCTAATAGCCGTGCAAGTTCAAATTTGGTTCACGTCGTAAACACTATGAATAATTAAATCACTGAATTTATGAACAAATATGCTGGTGTCATTCATAAACTCTTTCACTACTCGACTATTCACTAGTTCTCAATCAACCATTCTCAATTTGTCACACTTGTCCTCTCACACGCATAGACTCAATGGAGTCACATTCAATGAAAATTCAACTCGTTAGTCCATTCAGTCAATCATCATTCAGTGGTTAAAGCTGCAATATGTAACTTTTTGGGTGACCCGACCAAATTCACATAGAAATGGGAGTTATAGATCTGCCATTCTCATTGAAAGCAAGTCTAAGAAGCAGTAGATCTTTTTTATGCTTCCCGGTCTTAAGTTTTGTTTTTGTGTCTAACTTGCAGTTTTGTACAGCTGAAAATACAATATTTTTGGTTATGGAAAATATATTTCACAGCGGTTTAGATGGTACAATGACTCTACACTATACTTGCGTGTTTCGTCACAAACTGAAATTAGGCGAACTATTAGACATTTAGCAACCAGGAAATGGCGGAGCGATTTCTGCATAGTGCATCTTTAACACTCATTCATAAAAACACACTGATTCTTTGGGACTGACTCAAATAGCCTACTGCTAAACAATGACGCCGTAGTCCTAGTAGGCTGGGTCTTGACTGGGAGTGTTGTGGGCTTGACTTGGGACTTGCATAGCCTAAGTTTTGGGGATCTTGGTCTTACAGCCTTGCTCTTGGACTTGATAAAATGCCCTTGTCTTGTCTACACAAAACTAGACAACAGACTAAGAAACTGCACTAAGATTTTACCCTCTAGTATACCTAGAGCAGTCACTCTAAAACAGGCGAGAGGAGAGTGGAACGGAGCGCAAAACGCTAAGAACGTTTTAAGCTTCCGCCGCACCATTAAAACCAGGCTGCTTTTTAATTAAACAGTAGCTTTTCGAGCAACACTGGTTAAAATTTTAGCAGGTTACTGACTTAACACTCCTGCCAGATGGGGGAAAAATGTACATGCTGGCCGATTTGGGCTAGTGACCTCAGAAAAGGGGGCCTGGGGAGGCGAGATGAATGAGGTGCTGCAGTAGCTCTTTTCACACAGGACTTAAGGGCTCCCATCTGGCTTAGAAGAGCAGGGGTCTGCACTTGTAAAAAAATAATGAGAATGTGAAGTCTGTGGTGTGGAGGCAGGCGTGCTGTGAAGGAGGAAATGGGCCAGTGGAGCTCCTGGGAGGGGGTTAGGGGACTGGCTAAAGGATTTGTGTGATGGAGAGTGTATTGAGGACAGACGTGAGAAGTGAGTGTGTGATTGAGAGAAGCGCTAAGGAGTAGGGCTATGGCTTAAGGAATGATTGAGAGCAGTGAGCGCTAGTGTGTCTGTGTGTGTGGACTGCGCTTAATATGTAGCTTACAGGTGGAGTGCATGTGAATAAACTAGGTGTGTGAAGTGAGAATAGGCTAAATCGGGTGCAACGTGACAGCCAAGCCAGGACCATTTCTAAGCAGTTTTAGGCAGTAGGTGTATGTGAGGGGTTAAAGGTCCAGAATTTGGTAGCTATAAGAGAAGCTGAGAGGTCAATCAGTGGCTGTCCGAGATACTATGATGGTGTTAGTGAAGTAGATATGCCGGTCAGGATGTGGTTCAATTCCATGTCAATCAAGGAAGTTGACATTTAAAACATTGAAAAATATCATTTAGCCATCAACTACTGATGGTAGGGCCGGCTCCCAGTTACTGAGATACAAAGAAGATATCTCGGTGCCATGGGCCTTGATGGGCAAGGGGTTGGAGGAGGGCTCAGGCAGACGGGGGCCTCTTCTCCCACCTTCTCAGTCCTCAGCCATATCTGTCAGCATGGACAAAACCAGACTGACTGTAGTACAGCGGAGTGGAGTGCCTCGCATAAAAACCAGGTTGGCCAGAACCAACAGTGTTGCTGCTGAATTGGAGGTTCAGGTTTTCCTGGAGCTCAGGCTCATTAATGAGACGCTCCAAACAGCCGAGAGAACGAGGCAGCCGTCAGAGAAGGAGGGAGAGAGAACGGACTCTGCTGTCGGTCAGAGTTTCGATGACTTAGAGTCTTCCCAACACTTCTGCCTCAAGTAAAGGTGACTTTTGGAACATACACCATGTGCCAGATTGAAAAGTCTAATGTAGCCTAGGCCTACTGTCATTTCTAAACTCTGAAAGAACTGTTGAAATTGCATCAAATGCATCTGTCCCAGTATAGAGAACCATATTAGGCTCCATTCACCCAACATTTGCTTGCAGCAAATATCCTACACCAGCCTGTACAGGGAACTCACTTATTACCTGCACCATGAGATGTGTGCACAGAGCATCCTCTCATCATCATACTTCACAGGCCAGGAGACAGTGGGGGTCCATCTTGGGGCAGCAGAGAGCGAGAGCTGTGCACTGATGGGCTTCCTTATTAAACCTTCCAGTAAGGTTGGGGTCAAAGCTCTGCTCTATAAAAAGGTCTACAGTAAACAGTGTGCAGATTTACAGTGAGTAGAGAGTGGAAATGCTAAGGCTGCAGAAGGTGGGTTCCCTACAGAGAAACTCCCCCAGGCTGTGTTTCTGTCTTCCGGAGCTCGGCTGTACTGGCCTGCTACAGGTTGGACAGATGTCCAGGTATAGGCTACTGTATCAGCTGATGGGGGCTAAGTCATACTGCAACTGCACCTGAGTGAATTAAATTAGCCTAGTATAGAACTGTCTATAGCTGTTGGTCACTATGGAGTCTGATAGTGGATGTGTGAGTCTAGAAGGATATGGCTGATCATTAGCGTAGCCGTGAACGTTTCTTTTCTCATACTGTATTCTTGCATACATTCAAAAGCTGCAATTCCTGCAGATATGATTAAACGTAATTTTTAAATCTTAGCGTTGGCAGTAGCGTTATAGGTTCAGGGGGTGTCCGAAATATTTTTGCTATTTTCACAACCGGAATTATGGGTGCAGTGGCGCGAAAGAGCTTGGTTTTGTTGAATAAACAAGTTGTGGGTTTGTCGAGGCTTGGCCCCTTACTGGCCAATCAGAATGTGCTCCATGGCTAAATATGTGGTTGCTTCAAGTTGTGTATTTACGGTCTTTAATGTAGTGTGCTGTCATCAACTCCAATTCAAATGTTAGTCCGTTATAGCCTAGTTCGTTAAATAGCCTGCCCCATATTTGCTAAATATTTTGTTTGCAGTCAACACACTAATTGCATTGCTTCAATATGGAAATACATTGTTAAACATAGGCTACAGCATTCACAGTAATATAGGGGCTAGGCCTTCTGTAAATTGCAGTCTGGACATGCTAAACGTAGTCAATAAGCAAGATTACACTCACTAGGCTATTGATGAGGCCTATGAAGAATAATTCGAATAAAAACAAAATAACTTGTTTAAAAATAGGCTGTCTAAATACAGTTACACGCAACATAATTGCACCCCATGAGCGTATAATACAGACAAGGCAACAGACTAAAAAGGAGGGTTTTACACACATCCAAACTTTCCACAGGAGCTGGATAAAGATCCAATATAAAGAGAAAAGGGAGAATGTCCACTCACCGTTATGACTGCTCGAAAATGTCATGTTTTAGAAACATCATGGAACCATCTTACAGATAATATTTGCACTTCTCCAGAAATACCAGACGGAATTGCATTTCATTCGAGCCATGTACATTCTCACTATAAACCCTTGGACGGTGAATCTTTCTAATAAGTTTGTTTTTCATTTAATTTAACCAACAACAATATTTCTAAATAGGATCGGGTCAGAAGCATGATATCATAAATCGCATCTCTCGTTCCATGAGCATAAGGCAATGTGTGCACATGTAGGCCAAAGGGCTCTTCGGCAGGAGGCATGGATGTTTGTCCTATCCATTGAATATAGTTTATTCAATAGTATACACTAATCCTACAATTTAACACTAAGGTCCAACAGATGAAAGTGGAAGATGTAATTAATTGTTCAACAAAATGATAAAGGAAAAACCATAAGCAGTCTATTGTAATAACTTTATGTTCCTAAACAGACTTCCTACAGTCACTGACACCTTTCATTCAATGGGCATTTCATTAAATAGGCCTAATGAGTCCAAGCTTTTCACAGAAGCTGCACGGACAAAAATATCCAATATAAAGAAAAAAAAATTATGTTGATTGTTTTGCTACTCATGATATTTTAATAAAATATTGGTTATCGTCTACTGAGCGCCTCCGCTGGCAAAAAACGATGCCATAACCAATTGCGTTACTGCTAAGACCAGGTTTTGAGTCTTCAATATCACCACTAGTGCTGCTTAACATTTGCACATTTGGCACACGATTTTGGGGACACACCTCATATTTCCACCCCTCCCACCTCAGCACAAGCAAGCTGATATAAGACAGGTAAATTACCAACCCTGGCGCCAGGTTTGGAAAATGTTTAGTCCATGCTTTTACAAGACTATATTGCCAAAGAGTGTGCGTTTGACACTGTTTCTGTCTTAAAGCCAGCCAAAAATGCAGCCCATAGTGAGAGAGCAGTCTGCAAAGCCTGCACCTTTCCACCCACACAGTGACAGCAGGGAGTCCCCTCAGATTCTAGATACCTCACTCTTACAGGAAGTCACACCTCACCACATGACAGAAGGCAACCGAGACACCCTCACTTCAACAACACGAAAGAAGAGGGCCTAGTAGCAATAAAAAATATAAATAAAATAAAAATGATTCAATCAGTTTAGATGAATGGGATGAGACAGGTTAAATAAGGATATTTAAGATTTGAAACAATTGAGACATGGATTGTGTATGTGTGTCATTCAGAGGGTGAATGGGCAAGACAAGATTTAAGTGCCTTTGAACGGGGTATGGTAGTAGGTGCCAGGCGCACCGGTTTGTACAGTGAGGGAAAAAAGTATTTGATCCACTGCTGATTTTGTACGTTTGCCCACTGACAAAGAAATGATCAGTCTATAATTTTAATAGTAGGTTTATTTGAACAGTGAGAGACAGAATAACAACAACAAAAATCCAGAAAAACATATGTCAAAAATGTTATGAATTAATATGCTAATGAGGGAAATAAGTATTTGACCCCTCTGCAAAACATGACTTAGTACTTGGTGGCAAAACCCTTGTTGGCAATCACAGGAGGTCAGACGTTTCTTGTAGTTGGCCACCAGGTTTGCACACATCTCAGGAGGGATTTTGTTCCACTCCTCTTTGCAGATCTTCTCCAAGTCATTAAGGTTTCGAGGCTGACATTTGGCAACTCGAACCTTCAGCACCCTCCACAGATTTTCTATGGGATTAAGGTCTGGAGACTGGCTAGGCCACTCCAGGACCTTAATGTGCTTCTTCTTGAGCCACTCCTTTGTTGCCTTGGCCGTGTGTTTTGGGTCATTGTCATGCTGGAATACCCATCCACAATGCCCTGGCTGAGGGAAGGAGGTTCTCACCCAAGATTTTACGGTACATGGCCCCGTCCATCGTCCCTTTGATGCGGTGAAGTTGTCCTGTCCCCTTAGCAAAAAAACACCCCCAAAGCATAATATTTCCACCTCCATGTTTGACGGTGGGGATGGTGTTCTTGGGGTCATAGGCAGCATTCCTCCTCCTCCAAACGCGGCGAGTTGAGTTGATGCCAAAGAGCTCGATTTTTGTCTCATCTGACCACAACACTTTCACCCACTTCTCCTCGGAATCATTCAGATGTTCATTGGCAAACTTCAGAAGGGCCTGTATATTTGCTTTCTTGAGTAGGGGGACCTTGCGGGCACTGCAGAATTTCAGTCCTTCACGGCGTAGTTTGCTAGCAATTGTTTTCTTGGTGACTATGGTCCCAGCTGCCTTGAGATCATTGACAAGATCCTCCCATGTAGTTCTGGGCTGATTCCTCACCGTTTTCATGATCATTGCAACTCCACGAGGTGAGATCTTGCATGGAGCCCCAGGCAGAGGGAGATTGACAGTTCTTTTGTGTTTTTTCCATTTGCGAATAATCGCACCAACTGTTGTCACCTCCTCACCAAGCTGCTTGGCAGTGGTCTTGTAGCCCATTCCAGCCTTGTGTAGGTCTACAATCTTGTCCCTGCCATCCTTGGAGAGCTCTTTGGTCTTGGCCATGGTGGAGAGTTTGGAATCTGATTGATTGATTGCTTCTGTGGACAGGTGTCTTTTATACAGGTAACAAGCTGAGATTAGGAGCACTCCCTGTAAGAGTGTGCGCCTAATCTCAGCTCGTTACCTGTATAAAATACACCTGGGAGCCAGAAATCTTTCTGATTGAGAGGGGTCAAATACTTATTTTCCCTCATTAAAATGCAAATCAATTTATAACATTTGACATGCGTTTTTCTGGATTTTGTTGTTGTTATTCTGTCTCTCACTGTTCAAATAAACCTACCATTAAAATTATAGACTGATAATTTCTTTGTCAGTGGGCAAACGTACAAAATCAGCAGCGGATCAAATACTTTTCCCCCTCACTGTATAAAGAACTGCAACGCTGCTGAGTTTTTCACGCTCAACAGTTTCCCGTTTGTATCAAGAATGGTCCACCACCCAAAGGACATCCAGCCAACTTGACACAACTGTGGGAAGCATTGGAGTCAACATTGGCCAGCATCCCTCTGGAACGCTTTCAACACCTTGTAGAGTCCATGCTCTTGGTAATTTACCTGTCTAATATCAGCTCGCTTGTGCTGAGGTGGGAGGGGTGGAAATATGAGGTGTGTCCCCAAAAACGTGTGCCAGTTTTAAGCAGCACTAGAGGTGATATTGAAGACTCACCAAAACCTGGTCTTAGCAGTAACGCAACTGGTTATGGCATCGTTTTTTGCCAGCGGAGGCGCTCAGTAGCCGATAACCAATATTTTATTAAAATATCACGAGTAGCAAAACAATCAACAGAAATTCAATTATTTTCTTTATATTGGACATTTTTTAAATGCCCATTGAATGAAAGGTGTCAGTGACTGTAGGAAGTCTGTTTAGGAACATAAAGTTATTACAATAGACTGCTTATGGTTTTTCCTTTATCATTTTGTTGAACAATTGCATCTTCCACTTTCATCTGTTGGACCTTACTGTTAAATTGCGGGAATAATGATCGCTGTCCTTGATGCTGAATCCGCTTGCTTTTTGCCTGTTCGTTTGTTTACCTTTCACGTGACAAAGTCACTAACAGGCCATATCAACGGCGATGGTAGGCTAATCTTATTATAACGTTTGAGCAATATCCAATTGCCCATAGCTCGAACATGCAGTGCATTATTTTAATGGAATGTGTGGACAAATATTTCCATGTTGAAGGCCCCCCAAAAATATATATATATATATATATATATATATATATATATTGGCTACATGTTTATTATAATTAGGCCTATTATAGGATTAGTGTATACTATTGAATAAACTATATTCAATGGATAGGACAAACATCCATGCCTCCTGCCGAAGAGCCCTTTGGCCTACGTGTGCACACATTGCCTTATGCTCATGGAACGAGAGATGCGATTTATGATATCATGCTTCTGACCCAATCCTATTTAGAAATATTGTAATAAATATTGTAATTTACCTGTCTTATATCAATTTGCTTGTGCTGAGGTGGGAGGGGTGGAAATATGAGGTGTGTCCCCAAAAACGTGCCAATTTTAAGCAGCAAAAATGTCTAAAAACCTATTTTCGCTTTGTCATTATGGGGATTGCAGATTGCTGAGGATTTTATTTATTTAATCAATTTTAGAATAAGGCTGTAATGTAACAAAATGTGGGAAAAAATCAAGGGGTCTGAATACTTTCCGAAGGCACTGTATAAGCACACCAAAAAAAAAAACATTTTGGGGGTCTAGGTAGGTTTAACTAGTGCTAGTCGGCTGTACCTGCTTCAGAACTTGGGATAGGCATTTGAAATGATTTCACTACTCAAATAATATCATGCTATTTTTCGGATATCCGGAAAGAAAACATTTTTTATTTAGAAAAATGAAAATGGAGACTTGCGCTGCGCTCTGCTTGTTTCAGCAGAATGGTGGGGGAGGATCAGGGGCTGGTATGTGACAGTATGTGTGTGTGGTGCAGAGAGCGAGAGAGAGCAAGCAAGAGCGAGAGAGTGAGCAAGCAAAAGTAGCCAAACCGACTCGCGCTAGTTAGACAAACTTACTCGCGCTAGTTAGACAAACTTGTTGCTGCCATAGGCTGTCAGTCATTCCATCTGGTAGTACCTGTCCTAACTGCATCAAATAGTTGTAAAGAAGCTAGCTAGCTACAGAAGCCAGCTAAGTTAGCCAGCTAGCTAAAGTAGCAAGGCTAATTGAGGCCATTTTGCTGCGCTCCTCGTACTTGTCTACAACAATTCCATTCATATTAAACAACAGCCTACCTGTTGGTTGATCATTGTAGCCTACTCCTCATTTAGCCAACTTAATTCCGTAATTGTTATTCCATTTCGCGTTGATAAGGGGCGGCAGGTGGCTTAGTGGTTAAGAGCGTTGTGCCAGTAACCAAAAGGTTGCTGGTTCTAATCCGAGCCGACTAGGTGAAAAATCTGTCGATGTACCCTTGAGCAAGGCACTTAACCCTAATTGCTCCTGTAAGTCGCTCTGGATAAGAGTGTCTGCTAAATAACAACAAAAAAATACATCTCCCACTTTACTTGCTACACATATGGACTATAGCGCCACTTTGATTGACCGACAATAACAAGCTACAGGTGTGAAACGTATGTAGGCTACCGGTGCGTCTTTATGGGTTGCACTCATAAAAACTGTTTTAAGACTGTTGTTTTATTGAAATGTCTAATGGTCTATCCTTGCATGTTATTTTATTTTAGACAAAGCCTTTTCATTGTTAAAATAAGCCTATATTTTTTCCTAAAAAATGTATACTCTCCCAAGTAATCAAATTCTAAAGTCGGTTCAGATATTAAAATAACTGTGCCCATCCCTATCCAAAACTCCTGTATTTTTCATCCAATAGCTTATTCTCCGTCTTCTTTTTAAATAGTGAGCCAACATGTTTTCAGCACTTTTATTTCCATGACTGATCAAAACTCATTTTCTCACGCTCTCTCTGCAGCAGACAAAGATAGCAATACATATTGATAGTGAGCAGGTGGGTCTGGAAAGGGGTGATGTTGTGGATGTTTGTATGCATGTTTTGTGTCGTTTTAAAAATAAATAAATAAATACAATATTTAAAAAATAATAATATATAGTAACATATAGGCGGCAGTGCTTGAATAATATATAAATAACTGTATTCACCTATGAGACCATGCAGGAGTCTCCAGGGCAATACGAACAAGCTGAATGCCTGCAATTTTCTCAAAGTATTTCAGAAATCTATGTAGAATAAAAGTAGACTATTGCATTGGATTCCCGGGGTGCTGACATTCACAGTCACAACAGCAATTTTCAAACCATTCTGTGTTTAATTTGGACTGACAAACTGTGGTATATGTTCTGCCACCGGAGTCTACAGGATGAGAACGTATTTTTCCATATATAGACAGACACACCCTATGTAATAATAATAATAATAATAATAATCATAATAATAATAATGCCATTTAGCAGACGCTTTTATCCAAAGCGACTTACAGTCATGTGTGCATAAATTTTTACGTATGGGTGGTCCCGGTGATAAAACCCACTACCCTGGCGTTACAAGCGCCATGCTCTACCAATTGAGCTACAGAGGACCACTATGTGTTTGAATAAAATAAACTACATACGCACTGGGCTTGTCTGATGTTTTAAGCATAGCCTACTGTTTGATTAAATAATTAACACTCAAGAAAAAGCCAGATGGTCACACTGTGTTAATTGTTTTTACAGCGAGGGCCTGTGTGACTGGCACACGTTGTCTCGCTCTCTTCCCTACTGCAGCGAAAAGGCACCACAGCACAGCAAGTGTTTATTGCGCTGTCCGTGCTGAAGCTGCAACATTATTTCAGCCATTTAGTTTCTTACTTGTTTCTGACTGAAAAGTTATGTTACCGAAATCCAAAATGTGTTTAGGAAACACATTCCCTATTCCCTCAACCCTTGCTCTCTTTACGTGAAACATGTAAGCGTCGCATGCATGTGACCAATAGGGCCTGGCCTATAGCCTATCATAATAACATCAATAAATTGGCTGTAACAAACTCCGAACACGACAGCAAAATGCATGTGGAGGACGTGAAAAAGACATTTGAAATGGGCAAATGTTTACTGCTTGCTCAGAAGGGAAAGGGAAAGTCAGATCTGTGGAAGACATTTGACTTAGTTGTGGAAACTACTGGAGATCAAGAAAAAGGAGTGTATAGGAGCAAGCGTTGCGTGAGTATTGTGTGTGCCAAACAGTTGCTGTTAGATTACAATATTCTTTCTGACCATTTGGAAGTGTAAACACTAAATAAGTGTACCAGAGAGTCTGTTGTAATGAAAACATAGACATAAAGCCTTTATTACAGCAGACTAAAAACAGGTGCATGCATTCGTGAATTGTGCTTTATTTATTGTTTAGGCTAAGTATTCAAAGCTCCCTTTGTTATTTAATTTCAAAACTAAAATGCTTGATTGCATTTCAAAGCATGAATGTCTCGTATGCTGTGTGATGGCATGAACGAATGAATGATTGATTGACACAAATATAGGCCTAAGTACGTTACGGTATTAAGACTGAACAGGACACAGCTCGATGGTGGTTATACAAGGCTCCTATACAAAGCCTACTAATGATAACTACATTACTTATTACTATAATGATGATCATAATAATAATAAGCAATAATAACAACAAGGAGATGAAGAAAAAGGAGGGTATAGGAGTTAGAGCTGAGTGCATATTATGTGTGACAAAGAGGTGCTGTTTAAATTACAATATTATTTTTCTGCCTGTTTGGAACAGTATAAACACTAAATAAATAAGTAATACCAGTATTTTCAAACAAACAAAATTTAAAGCCTTTATTACAGTATAGCAAATATTAAAAACGGCTGAATCTGTGAAATTGCTTTATCTGACATTTTGTCGTTGCATGAGGCTTGGCGCTTACGGAATCAGTAGGCTATTAAACAAACACTCAATCAGGCAACATAATCAAGATCTGTCTCGGTCCACCAACAGCCTATTGACCAAACAATCGACCAAACAATCGACCAGTCGACTAAATGGGTAAACCCTAGAAAACATTGTAGCATTTAGGCTACCTGATTTTGTGTGTGATTTCTCTACAGATGGACTTAAATAACACAATGAATGGTATTTTATTTAGGTCAAATTGGCCACTTACAAGGAACAGGTTTATAAATTATTTGGGGTAAAGCTTTTTGCAGATTGAATGGCAACTTAGACCCTGAAATGGTATGAACACAATCCAATAGCCTATATACCATGTACTTATTTCCCTTTGGCCTGGCTCCTCCTGAGATGAAGCAGAAATGCTTCTGTTTTGTTTGAGCATTCATGACGTGACCTCTGGTTAGACCTGGATGGCTGGCGAGGAGGGATGGAGGGAGAGCGCGGGACCGAGACCTCTCGAATTGCAAGGGCTACGTCTCTAGGGCTTAGAGGGCACTCGGCTTGTTGATGCTTGATTGAGGACTAACTCTTATTCTCTTGCTCTCTAGTTCACCCTTGTGCATTTCCCTCTGCTGTTTTCCCCTCCCTCTCCCTCCTCTCATATGATGATGCCGCCATGCTAAAACATCTCCGAAGTCGTCCAGTCACTCATCAGCGTCAGCAAGTAATGAAACTGCACCACTTTACATTAGCGATGCGCCTCGGCTGAGCTGCCATCGAGGGGAAACGGAGCCCATCGTGTCTTCTCTGCACGGATAGGACTGGCCTCTGTCACTGGCGCTAACAATGTCTAGCCAAACAACCTATATTTAAATGTATATTCCACTTCATCAATCAAATCAATCAAAGGTTTTTCAGTGGTCATCAATTTGAGAGTCTTAATTGTTTTAATTAGACGAATCAAGCAATATCCGAAGTTTTTCCATGTGAAATTTTCTAAAAAGCTGTGATATTTGGAATCATATTCAAATAGGCCTAAGTTAGGGATAATGTAGCTTGCCCAAATATTTATCAACACTAGCCTATAAAAACTCAACAAAGGAGCATCAAGTTGTAACTATAGGAGGAAAACATGGGGGACACATTTCTACACCATTATATACATCAGCTGTTTTTATCTATATCAATGGATCCAATTAATGTGGACTCCATCAACAAGTCTATGAATGTAAACTAGAATCATAGCATTAACTCACCCAAACACAGCTCCAAACAAAAGCAAAGCCTTACGAAAATATATTTAAGGAAAAAAAGGTATGGGTAATTCCAAAAACCCAACTCCATCTGGGAGAGATGAATAAACAGAGAGAGAGAAAAAGAGATGGAACATGCAACTCGTCCTATGTCTCCTGTCCTACCAGCCTGTTAAGAGGGTAAAAGGAGCGCAAGGAGGGCTGGCTGGCTAGGTGCCCCACTTACGCCGAGTTGGCTCTCTGCTGCATCTCGTCGTCTGCCCCGCTCTCTCACAAGGTGTGCCCTCTCCACTGATGCTACTGATTCTGCTGCTGAAGAGAACGTTGAGTCGGAGTGACTAGGGTCTGAATGCTCCTGCACGGAAAGCAACGCAAACACAACACTAAATCCGTCTGTGCCATGATGCTATAAACCGTCTGCCCCGATAAAGTCAGTCCGCACTCTAGGATCAGTGAGCAGCAACCAAAGGCGGAAGGGGGCTTCTGGACTGGACCAGACCTCACATATGCTGGATGCCTTGCTAAGCAATTTGAAACATATTCTGATCAGTTGTCCAGTTTTGTTATTGTCCAGAAGCTTTGCTGGAAGGTTTTTTTCTTACAGGATGAGGTTGAGTCAGTCTGCATCTTAAAGCCAAGCAGAAAGAATGTCTCTTTCCCTGGAGTCTAAAATAAAGCCACGCATCATGATCACGCAGCGCATTGGTTTTAGGAGCAGTGGGACACTGTGGGTACGGCATAACGTCACACGAGTGAGGTTGGAAAGCAACAACACATCAGGGCTTGACATTCATGTAAATTTGCCAGCAGCACACCGGGCCTGTGCCAACAATGCTACTGGCCAGAATGTAAATACTGGCCCAAGAAAGCTGATGACGCACGCATAATTTCAATGTATCTTTTTGCAGGCTGAGCAAGTAGCCCATAGCCTATAATGACCTAGCCTCCATTCACAAATAATTACATTTTAACTTGACAATATTATATTTACATTGATTGTTTGTGGAGGGGGAAAAAAAATCAAACCCTTGCATTTGTAGGGCCCTATAAAGTCGGTTTTATCTTTTGCCAAATGCAATTTTTCCGGTTTTGTTTTTTCAGGTTTCAGAGTTTATTCTTTAAAGATTTTCACTCTCAAAGTCACACTTTCTTTATATGTAAAAAAATATATATATACACACATTTGATGTTCTAAGTCCACAACAATACTTAAACCACATCAGGAGACCACTTCTGGAGGTCGGAAAAAGGTTGCCTTTAATTAATTTGCGCACATACCAAGATAAAATCTTTTTTTGTTTTATCAATTATTTAGCCTAGATTGAAAACAGCATTATTATATATTTTTTTCACTGGCCCAAGCAGGCCACTAATGTGGATGATTGACTGGCCCAGAGGGTTTCCACAACCTCAACGGGCACGGTGGGAAGCCCTGTATGTCGAGTCCTGAGCATAATGCTATGACCTCTGGGGGCTTCTGTGGGGGGCTTACATACAACCACATGTCACCTGTATCTAGCTGTGTGCATGGTTTAAGACACTCACCCTGAAATTCCAAATTGATTACAAACTCCAGGATTATTTTGGTAAATGTACAAACGCCACAGCTACAGATGTAAACACTACATGGGATTATGTACCAACCTGACCATTATGTAAATTGTGATCTCGGTATTTCCATCTAAAATGACCCACGTGCACCAACATGTGAAGTCCACAGAGTCTATACAATTTTAGAAATTAAGGCATATATACAGTTGAAGTCGGAAGTTTACAGTGGGGAGAACAAGTATTTGATACACTGCCGATTTTCAGGTTTTCCTACTTACAAAGCATGTAGAGGTCTGTAATTTTTATCATAGGTACACTTCAACTGTGAGACGGAATCTAAAACAAAAATCGAGAAAATCACATTGTATGATTTTTAAGTAATTATTTTGCATTTTATTGCATGACATAAGTATTTGATACATCAGAAAAGCAGAACTTAATATTTGGTACAGAAACCTTTGTTTGCAATTACAGAGATCATACGTTTCCTGTAGGTCTTGACCAGGTTTGCACACATTGCAGCAGGGATTTTGGCCCACTCCTCCATACAGACCTTCTCTAGATCCTTCAGGTTTCAGGGCTGTCGCTGGGCAATACGGACTTTCAGCTCCCTCCAAATATTTTCTATTGGGTTCAGGTCTGGAGACTGGCTAGGCCACTCCAGGACCTTGAGATGCTTCTTACGGAGCCACTCCTTAGTTGCCCTGGCTGTGTGTTTCGGGTCGTTGTCATGCTGGAAGACCCAGCCACGACCCATCTTCAATGCTCTTACTGAGGGAAGTAGGTTGTTGGCCAAGATCTCGCGATACATGGCCCCATCCATCCTCCCCTCAATACGGTGCAGTCGTCCTGTCCCCTTTGCAGAATAGCATCCCCAAAGAATGATGTTTCCACCTCCATGTTTCACGGTTGGGATGGTGTTCTTGGGGTTGTACTCATCCGTCTTCTTCCTCCAAACACGGCGAGTGGAGTTTAGACCAAAAAGCTCTATTTTTGTCTCATCAGACCACATGATCTTCTCCCATTCCTCCTCTGGATCATCCAGATGGTCATTGACAAACTTCAGACGGGCCTGAACATGCGCTGGCTTGAGCAGGGGGACCTTGCGTGCGCTGCAGGATTTTAATCCATGACGGCGTAGTGTGTTACTAATGGTTTTCTTTGAGACTGTGGTCCCAGCTCTCTTCAGGTCATTGACCAGGTCCTGCCGTGTAGTTCTGGGCTGATCCCTCACCTTCCTCATGATCATTGATGCCCCACGAGGTGAGATCTTGCATGGAGCCCCAGACCGAGGGTGATTGACCATCATCTTGAACTTCTTCCATTTTCTAATAATTGCGCCAACAGTTGTTGCCTTCTCACCAAGCTGCTTGCCTATTGTCCTGTAGCCCATCCTAGCCTTGTGCAGGTCTACAATTTTATCCCTGATGTCCTTACACAGCTCTCTGGTCTTGGCCATTGTGGAGAGGTTGGCGTCTGTTTGATTGAGTGTGTGGACAGGTGTCTTTTATACAGGTAACGAGTTCAAACAGGTGCAGTTACTACAGGTAATGAGTGGAGAACAGGAGGGCTTCTTAATGAAAAACTAACAGGTCTGTGAGAGCCGGAATTCTTACAGGTTGGTAGGTGATCAAATACTTATGTCATGCAATAAAATGCAAATTAATTACTTAAAAATCACACAAATGTGATTTTCTGGATTTTTGTTTTAGATTTTGTCTCTCACAGTTGAAGTGTACCTATGATTAAAATTACAGACCTCTACATGCTTTGTAAGTAGGAAAGCCTGCAAAATCAGCAGTGTATCAAATACTTGTTCTCCCCACTGTACATACACCTTAGCCAAATACATTTTACTCAATTTTTCACAATTCCTGACACTTAATCCAAGTAAATATTCCCTGTCTTAGGTCAGTCAGGATCACTACTTTATTTAAGAATGTGAAATGTCAGAATAATAGTAGAGAGAATGATTTATTTGAACTTTTATTTCTTTCATAACATTTCCAGTGGGTCAGAAGTTTACATACACTCAATTAGTATTTGGTAGCATTGCCTTTAAATTGTTTAACTTGGGTCAAACGTTTTGGGTAGCCTTCCACAAGCTTCCCACAATAAGTTTGGTGGATTTTGGCCCATTCCTCCTGACAGAGCTGGTTTAACGGAGTCAGATTTGTGGGCCTCCTTACTCGCACATGCTTTTTCAGTTCTGCCCATAAATGTTCTAAAGGATTGAGGTCAGGGCTTTGTGATGGCCACTCCAATATCTTGACTTTGTTGTTCTTAAGCCATTTTGCCACAACTTTGGAAGTATGCTTGGGGTCATTGTCCTTTTGGAAGACCATTTGCGACCAAGCTTTAAACTTCCTGACTGATGTCTTGAGATATTGCTTCAATATATCCACATAGTTTTCCTTCCTCATGATGCCATCTATTTTGTGAAGTGCACCAGTCCCTCCTGCAGCAAAGCACCCCCACAGCATGACGCTGCCACCCCCGTGCTTCACGGTTGGGATGGTGTTTTTCGGCTTGCAAGCAACCCCCTTTTTCCTCCAAACATAACGATGGTCATTATGGCCAAACAGTTCTATTTTTTTTTTATCAGACCAGAGGACATTTCTCCAAAAAGTATGATCTTTGTCCCCATGTGCAGTTGCAAACCGTAGTCTGGCTTTTTTATGGTGGTTTTGGAGCAGTGGCTTCTTCCTTGCTGAGCGGCCTTTCAGGTTGTCGATATAGGACTCGTTTTACTGTGGATACAGATACTTTTGTATCTGTTTCCTCCAGCATCTTCACAACGTTCTTTGCTGTTGTTCTGGGATTGATTTGCACTTTTCGCACCAAAGTACGTTCATCTCTTGGAGACAGAACACG